GCCTTCTTTAAGTGAGTTTTGAGGTCAAGATCCTAAGGGATCAAAGGTTCAAAAACAAATGACTTGCTCCTAACTTAGATAAATTAAAGGGAAATGTCCATATTTCAGTGTACTTCCCCTCAGTTACTTTATGTGGAAAGTGGAGGGATATTTCAAGCCAAAACCATGCTGATAATCATTACTTTGGAAGAGTATACAACCAAAAAAGCACTGAGAATATGTATGATCCACAATAAAAAGCACTGTGTAGGTTAAATGAATCTTCCCAACAACCTATTCGGTGGCACTGGGTGGTAAAGAACCGCCTGCCAATGCAGGAGACGTAAGAGACTCAGGTTTTATCCCTGGGTCAGGAAGATCCCCTGCAGGAGGGCATGGCAACCCACTCCAGTATTCCTGCCTGAAGAATCCCATGGACAGAGGAGCCTGGCAGGCTACAGTCCATGGGGTCACAAAGACCCAGACACTTTTGAAGCAATTTAGCATGCATGCAACACTTATTATTTTTATTGACCAGGAAATTAAGTGTAGGTTAAGTACTATCTGTCATGGCTGCACAGAAAGTACAGGAAAGGATCTAGAAGATAAAGATTTGGAGTTTAGTTGATGTGATTAGTGCTCTCATAACTGCTTCTTAGCAGTTCTGGCTCTTTTCCTAGCATTGCACAAATACAGTCCATCATTACAGAGTCATAGAGTTGGGCTTCAAAATGTTCCTTTGGTCTGCCTTTTCACGTTATTACCAGTGCGCCATCAGTTCAGCTGCTGAATTATTCAGCAGCTACATACTGTTGCTGTGCTAAAAGGCAATGTTGATAAATGAGTAACAAAGCTGCTGATTACACACTCAAATTTGAGCCAGTGTTTTTTAACTCATATGAAACCAATATGATAGTGTAGTTAAACACTAGAAACATATTTTTAAAAATCAATGTGGAATTCTCATGTTGTTCTGGATGTGTGTGTGTGTGTGTGTGTGTGTGTGTGTGTGTGTGACAGAAAGGAAGAGAATCATCCTTCAGTTCTCAGCCGCTGTGTGTGTGCGTGTGTGCGTATGTGTGTGTGCAACGGAGAGAGAGAGAGAGTGAGACAGATTCATGCTTCCTTCCCTGATGGTGTTTCTCATGGTTTATTCCTTAGCCACTTTCTCTATCAATTTTCTGGGCAAATTCACTAACTTACTTCTGCATTCTTCTTTGGAGCTACCAGCTTCTAAACCCAACAATTCAATGGACATTTATTCCCATTTAAACATCTCTCTGGGCATTTCAAACACAACATGCTAAAAACAAACATATCTTTCTATGCTAGCAGGTCTGAAAACCTGCTACTCATGTTTTCTCTACTTCAGGAACCAGCACCACATAGTACCAGGTATTAAAGTTAAGAAAGCCATTTGTAACTTCCTCACCTCACCATCCTCATCATTAGTATTTCTCACCAGTTTTTTGCCTCAGTATTGAATCCATGCATCAAATTCTGCTTTCCTCTATTGCCAGAATGCTTTTTTATAAGAATAATATTTCAAATTATTACATTTTTAAATAAAAATGTTTATTTATTTATTTGGCTGCACTGGTCTTTAGTTGCAGCATGCAGAATCCTTAGCTTCAGCATATGAACTCATAGTTGTAGTATCTAGTTCCCTAACCAGGGATCAAACCTGGGCCCTGGGAGTGTGGAGTCTTAGCCACTGGACCACCCAGGAAGTCCCTGATTACATGTTGTGAAACCAGTTCATTGAAGTATTATTGAGATATAAAGACTGTACTTAATATTTGCAACTTGATGAGCTGGATCATAGAAAAAGCAAGAGAGTTCCAGAAAAACATCTGCTTCTGCTTTATTGACTATGCCAAAGCCTTTGACTGTGTGGATCACTACAAACTGTGGAAAATTCTTAAAGAGATGGGAATACCAGAATACCTTACCTGCCTCCTGAGAAACCTATTTGCAGGTCAAGAAGCAACAGTTAGAACCAACATGGAACAATGGACCGGTTCAAAATTGGGAAAGGAGGGTGTCAAAGCTGAATATTGTTAACCTGCTTATTTAACTTAAATGCAGAGTACATCATGAGAAATGCCGGACTGGATGAAGCACAAGCTGGAATCAAGATTGCCGGGAGAAATATCAATAATCTCAGATATGCAGATGACACCACCCTTATGGCAGAAAGTGAAGAGGAACTAAAGAGCCTCTTGATGAAAGTGAAAGGAGAGTGAAAATTCTGGCTTAAAACTCAACATTCAAAAAACTAAGATCATGGCATCCAGTCCCATCACTTCATGGCAAAGAGATGGGGGAACAATGGAAACAGTGACAGACTTTATTTTCTTGGTCTCCAAAATCACTGCAGATGGTGACTGCAGCCATGAAATTAAAAGATGCTTGCTCCTAGGAAGAAAAGCTATGACAAACCTAGACAGTGTATTTAAAAGCAGAAACATCACTTTGCCAACAAAGGTCTGTATAGTCATAGCTATGGTTTTTTCAGTAGTCATGTATGGATGTGAAAGCTGGACCATAAAGAAGGTTGAGCACTGAAGAATTGATGCTTTCATGCTGTGGTGTTGGAGAAGACTCTTGAGGGTCCCATGTACTGCAAGATCAAAGCAGTCAGTCCTAAAGGAAATCAACCCTGAATATTCATTGGAAGATTGATGCTGAAGCTGAAACTCCAATACTTTGGCCATCTGATGCAAAGAGCCATCTCATTGGAAAAGATCCTGACGCAGGGAAAGATTGAGGGCAGGAGGAGAAGGGGTCAACAGAGGACAAGATGGTTGGATGGCATCCCCGACTCAATGGACATGAGTTTGAGCAAGCTCCAAGAGATGGTGAAGGACAGGGATATCTGGCGTGCTGCAGTCCATGTGGTCGCAGAGTCAGACAAGACTGAGCAACTTAATAGCGTGCTGGGTAAGCATATTAGTGAAACCATCACCACAATCAATGCCACAAGTATCTATTACCTCCAAAAATTTCCTCCCACCCTCTTTTTGTGTGGGTGTGTGATAAAAACACAACAAAGTGATATGTGTTCTTAACATGTTTTCTACTAAAGGTTTCCATTTGCTGTTTAAAATACCCAAACGTATTACTGCATGCTATTGGGTGAGCTGACTTCTGCCTACCTCTTGAGTTTTATTCAAGGCACCCTTACCCTCATGTTCTACGTTTGTTGTCTTTTTTCCTGTTCGTTACAAGAGTGATGCACTGTTTTTTTCTGTTATCTTTCTCTTCACTGACTAACTGCTATGCAGAATTCTTACCCTTCCTAAGGAAGGCCTTTCCTGACTCACTAGACTCTGTATATCTCCCTATAATCTGCTCCCCAGATTGTAACTTCCATCAAGATAAAGTGTATCTTCTTCCCCACTGAATCCTTAGTGAGTAGGCAGCACTTGGGATATATACTATAAGTATCTGTTGAATGAATAAGTGTATGTTTATTCCTGCAGGTGAAAAGGAACGTGCTTTATGCAGTTTTCCTTTAAAGTTGTCTATAAATGTAAATGTTAAAAGTAAAAAATCATTTTTCTTTAGCACCATTTAAAATGTTAGTATTACCTAGTTATTAACAGTATGCTTTTTACACTAAAGTGTAAAGTCAGAGTCACCTTTAACATTGATGTACACATCTAAAGAGAAAGTTTGGTATGAAATTCACCCAAACATGATTTTGGATGCTTCTGCCATCTCCAGGACTCACAGTGACTTTTCAGGGTCCTATTCTCAATCAGAGTGCTTATGCAGAATTATAACAAGATTTTTTAAATTTATATTTAAATCAAGTCTTAATTGGCGAACAGATTTTTTTCTTGTCTTTGTTGTTGTTTTTTCTTTTACTGTATTAAGAAAAAAATACCATGGCAATTACCCTGTTACACTTAAATTGTTATGATGATACACTGTAATTTTGCTGGGAAAACTTTTCCCCCTACAATCACTGTATGCTTTTGGCTTTAAGATATATCTGTACTTTGGAAGTGTGACTAGTCCTCCACACAGCTGGTCTAGATACACCCGACCAGTCATCTGCACTGATTGTCTGGCTGAGAAGTAGATCGATGGTGGCTCTAGGAGGCACCAGGCCCATCCAAGGTCTAGCTGGGAGCATTTTCAGGGTGGGATGACGGCATCAGCAGTTTCATGTATCAGGGCTTGAGGAATGGCAGGTTCTTTTCTGAATCAATAATCGAGGTACTCAGAATCCACCTGCTATCTAATTGCCTTCCCTCAATCGTGAGAAAGAATTTAATGTTATTTACATGGGTCCAGAATGCCGGAGAGTAACCAGTGCTAGGGAGCTCCTCATGGGGCAGTCTCAATCCATAAATAGGGTCAAAAAAGGAACGAAAGGCCAAACCAAACCAAAAGCAGGATACTTAATTAAATGGGAATTTCAAATAAGTAATTTTTAGCTTAAGCTGGCCCAAATATTGCATGGAGCATATTATACTAAAGTGTCCTATATTATCTGGCAATTCTAATATTCAATTCAACTAAATTTCACAAATATTTACTTACTTACTTACCTGAAAGAAGAGAGGATGAAATCTTGGTCTACTAAAATAGAAGCTTTGCCTGGGAAAATCTTAATAATAAGCCATTTAGTACCACTAATTTTTTTTATTAATGAATGAAAAAATGTGTTTAATGAATTATTGCTTTCCTATGACTAATTTGGTTAAATAAAAGTCTTTTCCTGGAGGAGTTTTAACTGGAGGAAAAAACTGTACTTTAGAAAATGTCCTTGAGTTCAATTGTCTGTGTTCAAATGTCCTATGTTCAATTTAAAAATATTTAAATATGGAGAAGGAAATGGCAACCCACTCCAGTATTCTTGCCTGGAAATGTCCGTGGACAGAGGAGCCTGGCGGGCTGAAGTCCATGGGATTACATGACTGAGCATGTGTGCATGAGGGTGGAGGGAGATGGGTTGGTAGCAATAAAGTGATAGAACTAAAAAAAATAAATAAATAAAAATAAAAATATTTAAATAGAATACACATTGTTTAATGTTTTCCCACTGGGGAGGCTCATACAGTTTCCCAGTTTGACTGTTGCTTTGTATGACTGTAATTCTTCCAGTGAGTGGAAGAGGAAGACAGCCGATCCTTGTGAGTGATAACAGAGCAAATATATTCAGGAGGCACCGAAGTACAGCTTCAAACAATGAGGAAAAAGCGAGGTCTGCTTGAGAAGCAACCGCAGGAGCAACTGAAAACACAGCCCTTTATTTCCTCTTTTACAGAAAAAGCATAGAAAAAAATTAATCCATATTCACAAGAAGAACTAACAACAAGCTCTAATCATAGTTTTCATGGTTAGTGTGAAATATACAACTTATCTAACACATCCACAGCTCATACTATTATCAGCAACTTTTAAATTAATTACCAACATAGTCTACAACATGTTTCGAAGAGTTGAAAGAACAGGATAAAACATGACCAAAGTACAAGTCAGAATATAGTGCTGGTAAGAGTGTTATGTGTTTTCAAAGACTAATTGATCATACCTGATTCAGATTTCACACAGGAGATGGTATTGAGAATAACTTAAATATGTTACTTAATGGGTAATTACAAATTTATGACATAATAAGGGTGAGAAAGAGCTCCATATCTTGAATAGAAGAAAAGCTGAACTAATGCAAAGATTTCACACTAATTATTCTATATGCTAAAATGGAGAATTGGATAGAAGAGTATCTTTTTTTTTTTTAGAAGAGTATCTTTTAAAATAGACTTTACTTATTTTTTTTTGGTTTCAAGTAGGTAAGTCTTCAGGGACTTTTGTATTTGTCTCATATCCTGGTAACAAACAGTACTTGGCACACAGAAGGCACATGATCAATTTTAAGATAGAAACCTTAAGAGTCATTTTCAACTCATCCTTTATCACATCCGATTTGTTGCTAGGCCCTGTAGATTTTACTTCCAGCATCTTTTGAATCCGTTCTCTTTGAACACTTTTATTTCCATTGCCTTATTTCAAGCCTTTAGTTTTTAACCCAGTTACTACAATACCCTTCTAATCTACATTTTCTTAAAAGACTTAAGTTCTTAAACAAAGCATTTCACATCAATCCCTAAAAATATCCATTGCATATGAAAAGGGTCCTTAAACTTCTAGGTGGTGGTTTAGTCTCTAAATCGTGTCCAACTCTTGCAACCCCATGGACTGTATCCTGCCGGGCTCCTCTGTTCATGGGATTTCCCAGGCAAGAATACTGGAGTGGGTTGCCATTTCCTTCTCCAGGCGATCTTCCCGACCCAGAGATGGAACCAGGGTCTCTTGCATTGCAGGCAGATTCTTTACCAATTGAGCCACCAGGGAAGCCAAACTTCTAGAGGAGGCAGCAAATCATACTGTTCTTTGAGTGTAGACTGTAAATAAAAGACCATTCGAGAAAATCTGAAGTGTTTAGGATTGGTCAAGATGCTGCTGCTGCTGCTAAGTCGCTTCAGTTGTGTCCGACTCTGTGCGACCCCATAGACGGCAGCCCACCAGGCTTCCCCGTCCCTGGGATTCTCCAGGCAAGAACACTGGAGTGGGTTGCCATTTCCTTCTCCAATGCATGAAAGTGAAAAGTGAAAGTGAAGTTGCTCAGTCATGTCTGACTCTTTGCGACCCCATGGACTGCAGCCTACCAGGCTTCTCTGTCCATGGGATTTTCCAGGCAAAAGTACCGGAGTGGGTTGCCATTGCCTTCTCTGTGGTCAAGATGAGGCAAAGGTTAATGAAATGACCCTTCACATTCTGGATGGGAAACTAGCAGTCCATGGTCTGTAGTCATAAAATGGTCAATAAAGTCAGGATCAGAAGTTATCATTCTGATTATCACACATATTTGGACCACGTGTGTGCCTGGTTGTGTGTAGTACCATCTGGAATCACCTGGTCTTATTGAGTTGTGGAGTGACCTAATGAAAGCTCAGCTATACTGCCAGGTGAATGGTGACATCCTGAACAGTTAGGGGGTATGTCTTTCTGGATGAAGTTGATATTTGGAATAAAAAATGTCTTTAAAAAATGTCTTATTTTTCTCATAGGAAAATTACACTGGTTCAGGGATGAAATGATTCATTCTCAGTCTTATGGGAAGGTTTAGGGTTCAAGGGAAGAATGTTCCTATTAGGGAACACAATCACAATTCCACTGATTTGTATCTAAAGATTGAATAAGTATCTCTCCTTTCATATTCCCATTTGATTTCAAGAATCAATATGTTTTCTCTTTTTCTACTTCTGTGTAGAGCATGTAGGAATTGAGGAATGGTCATCACAAGACCCCTGACATGTAAAAGAGTGGTCCTCATGAGCTGGAGCTCTGCTTGCTTCTCATCCGATAAGCTGGGCACTGAAATCTGCTGCTTGTGTACATGGGCTCTTGCGGTTTTCAATGACCAACAGTTTTGTTCTTAGTTTTGACTCAGGCCTTTTTTGGTCAACTAGCGTCTTCCACCCATGTTTCTAACTCCTTGTCCAATGTTACTTGTCAGGCAAAAAATATTTACAGGTGACCAAAGGCATAAAAAGAGTTTCTGGAACTGTTTTTGCATAGCACTGAAAGCTGATAGCTTCTCCCCAAATGTACTGACTTAATATAGGTGCTATTAGGAAGGAGACTCTTGCTGTCTGCTAAAAATGGGACGACCATCATTACCCCATAACTTCAGTGAGTTCCTGTGCTTTTTTTCTCTCATTCTATAATGGGCATTTTATCAGTTCCTAAATGTACTTTTTCCTACTGTTGAAATGCATGAATGCAAAGTGGTATGACCCGGATAACCACAATAGTGTGGTCACTCACCTAGAACCAGACATCCTGGAGTGCAAAGTCAAGTAGGCCTTAGGAAGCCTTTCTACAAAACTAGTGGGGGTGATGGAATTCCAGCTGAGCTATTTAAAATTCTAAAGGGTGATGCTCTTAAAGTGCTGCTCACAATATGTCAGGAAATTTGGAAAACTCAGCAGTGGCCACAGGATTGGAAAATGTCAGCTTTCATTTCAATCCCAAAGAAGGGCAATGCCAAAGTATGTTCAAATTACCATACAATTGCACTCATTTCACATGCTAGCAATGTGATGCTCAAAATCCTTCAAGCTAGTGGCGCTAGTGGTAAAGAAACCATCTGCCAATCCCGGACTTGCAAGGGATGCAAGTTTGATCCCTAGGTGGGGGAAGATCCCCTGGAGAAGGAAATGACAACCCACTCCAGTATTCTTGCCTGGGAAATCCCATGGACAGAGGAGCTCGATGGGTCTCAGTTCATGGGGTCGCAAAGATTCGGAGACCACTGAAGCGACTTAGCACAGCACACAGGCTTCAGTAGTAGGTGAACTGAGAACTTCCAGATGTACAAGCCGAGTTTTCAAGAGGCAGAGGAACTAGAGATCAAATTGCCTACATTTGTCGGATCATAGAGGAAGCAAGGGAGTTCCAGAAAGATATGTTTCATTGACTACGCTAAGGCCTTTGACTGTGTGGATCACAATAAACTGTGGGAAATTCTTAAAGAGACGGAGTACCGGGTTACCCTACCTGTCTCCTGAGAAATCTGTAGGTAGGTCAAGAAGGAACAGTTAGAATCAGACATGGAACAACTGACTGGTTCAAAATGGGAAAAGGAGTATGACAAGGCTGTATATCGTCACCTTGCTTATCTAGCTTATATGCAGAGTACATCATGTGAAATGCAGCCTGGGCGACTCACAAGCTGAAATCAAGTGCTGGGAGAAATTTCAGCCACCTGAGATATGCAGATAATACCACTCTAAGGGCAGAAAGTGAAGAGGAACAAAAGAGCCTCTTTGATGAGGGTGAAAAGCTGACTTAAAACGCAACAGTCAAAAACCTAACATCATGGCATCCAGTCCCATCAGTTCATGGCAAATAGAAGGGGGGAAAGTGGAAGCAGTGACAGATTTTATTTTCTTGGGTTCCAAAATCACTGCAGACAATGATTGCAGCCATGCAATTAAAAGATGCTTGCTCCTTGGAAGGAAAGCTATGACAAACCCAGACAGTGTATTCAAAAGCAGAGGCATCTTTTTAATATGTGACAAAGTCAAAGCTATGGTTTTCCTAGTAGTCATGTATTGATCTGACAGGTGGACTGGAAAGAAGGCTGAGTGCCAAAGAATTGATGGTTTTGAACTGTGGTGCTAGAGAAGACTTTTGAGAATCCCTTGGAGAGCAAGGAGCTTAAACCTAAACCTAAAGGAAATCAACCTGACATATTCATTTGAAGGACTGTTGCTAAAGCTGAAGCTCCAACAGTTTGGCCGCCTGATGTTTAGAGCTGACTCACTGGGAAAGACTCGGACTCTGGGAAAGACTGAAGGTGAAAGGAGAAGGGCTGCATCAGGGGATAAGATGGTTAGAAAGTATCACTGACTCAATGGCCATGAATCTGAGTAAACTCCGGGAGATAGGGAAGGACAGGAGAGCCTGTCATGCTGTAGTCCAAGGGAACACAAAGACAAGACTTAACCACTGAAGGACAACAACTCTGTTGAGGGGAAAGATCCAGGTATGTTTGGAGAATGCCTGATACAACAGAAGTGAAGACAAACAGCATGCCAAGTTAAAACTGTTTCATTGCTGTGGAATATCTAAACTGCACCCTCTCCTCTGCACTGGCCATAGTATTATTGTTTGTAAAATAATATTATGAAATGCAGATACATTTGTTTAACCACTTTGGGCAGTTAAGACACAAGTTCCAAGTACAAGCTTCTTTCTTGTACATGTCAAGCGGGCTACTAACTCAATGTGCCAACAACCCAAAGGGTTTTTGCCGCGCTCTGAAGGCACTGTGAGGAGGCAGGGGCCCTGGCTCAGATTAGCTTGGTGACCTACACTCGCTGGACCTCCTTTTCCTCTCTGTAAAATGGGGAAGGTCTGGATATTCTCTGGACTGTGCCTTAGTCACTCAGTCTTGTGCGATTCTCTGTGACCCCATGGATTGAAGCCTACCAGGCTCCTCTGTCCATGGGATTCTCCAGGCAAGAATGCTGGGGTGGGTTTCCATGGCCTTCTCCAGGGGATCTTCCAGACCCAGGGATCGAACCCAAGTCTCCCTCATTGCAGTCGGAGTCTTTACCGTCTGAGCCACCAGGGTATACCTGAGTCCAGTCACAAAAGTGCCAGAAAGGCCCTCGGGCACCCACCTTGACCGGTGAGGATTGGGGGAAGGGCCCCAGCGGCGGATTTGTCTCCTGGGGGCGGGCGGAGGGCCCGGAGCGCCAGCCGTGGGCGGAGCCACCCCCGCCGGAGCCGCCTTCCTTCCTGCCCGCGCAGTCCCAGGCGCGCTCGCCAAACACTCCGGCCAGCCCTCAGCTCCCAGCACTCTGGTTCCAGGGCGGCCCGGGGCGGGGGACGCGGTTGGCGGCGACACCGGAGGGGGGCCGGGTGGGCGGGTCAGGAAGTGGGGGCGCGGCGGCCCGGGAGCGGGCCTGAGGAGAACTGCGGGGCTCGGCTACGCGGAGGCTGGAGACGCCGGACGGTGCGGGAGCCCCGAGGGGAGCCCCCCCGGCCTCCGCGGGGACGATGGCGGAGGAAGAAGGTGACCGGCCCCGGGGTCCGGCGCGCGTACGGCCGCCAGAGATCTCGGGAAATGAGGGCCGAGAGACCGGGGCGGCGGGTGGCCGCGGCTGTCCGGCGGGAAGGAGCGGGACCGCGGCGAGGGGGGCGGGAGGTGTGCGGAGACATCGAGAGGGAGCGGAGTGGACGGCCTGAAGTCGTGCCGGCTCGAGTGGGAGGCAGAAGTGGAGCTTGAAGTTGAAAATCGGGTCGCGGGAGAGAACGCCGTGGGGGGAGTGGCTGAGAGGAAGGGCCGGGAGCTGCTGGTGAGCGGAGCGGGGGACGGACTGGGGTTGAGAAGATGTCGGTGCGAGTGCTGAGTGTCTCTGCCGGAGTGAAAGTCTTGTAGCCGAGTGCCCCTCAGGCTGAGTGCGCTCCTGAGAAGTCTGTGGGTGCTGACCAGGTCACCCCCGGGTAAGAGGAGCCGTACGCCAAGGCGGGGGACAGAAAGAGGCAAGGGTTTGGGATGAAAGTGGTAAGTGAGGTGGATGGGAGGAGACGAAGAAGCAGAAACGGAAGAGAAGGTCACCAATTTCATTTGCGGGTTAGGGGGCGAAGGCCCAGGGAGAAGGAGTGAGTGGCTTTGGGGGGGATCCGGAGCGCGGAGTGCTTTGAGGGTGAAAGAAGGTGGGCTGGAGAAAGCTTTTCATGTCTTCGGGGCCACTGCCAAGACAACTCACTCAGTATTGATTCACAGAAGTTGATAGGTATGAGAGAAAAATGGGGAGCTGGGGCGGAACTTCGCCAGCGAGAGGTGTTCTAGGAAACATTTGTGTCACATGTTCATAATAGGCATGGTGCTTTCAGGCATAGATAATAATGGTATCGCCCGATTGAGCAGTTAGGCTTTTCATTCTCCTGAAAAACATGACTTTTTAACCCTGTTGAGGAGGGTTGTGAACGTGATCTGTTTAGACTGAAGCCTTGCTAAACCAGGAATGCAAGAAGGGAGTCTGAAGAATTCAGTGGAAAACAATTAAAAAAAAAATAATTTTAAGAATTGTTTGCTCTGTGACTTGCGGCTCTGTTCCTGCACTCACTCTTGCTTCATATTTGCCTCCTCCTTAAGTTTTCTGGGTTAAAACTGGTCTAATTTAAGACACTGTACCTAAAAACAGCTTCAAACTAAACTGTTTGTAGTTGGTAAGGAGGAATGTGTTTCTGTTTGTTGCCTTGGTTTTATCTTTGGTTCCAGTATATGTGATATTTTTTTATATTTTTTACTTTTCTAACTACCTGCAGATCTCTGGGGGTGGGTTGATAAGCTCACTTGTATGTTTCCATGAGCACTTAAAGCATAAAAAATTAGAAACTGCAGTATTAAAAGTCTTTAATATTATATATCATGCTAATGAGGAATTGTTTTAAGAGGTTAAAGTTAGACCTAACTAAACGGATATGATGTGGAACCACTTATGATTTCATAAGCCACACAAGTTTGTGAAATTTACTTCCATGATATAAAGTGAAAAATGACTTTTGTTTGTAGAAGGATAGGTAATCCAAAGGAGTGAAATACATCTTACTTGGAATAATTAATGCATTGAAGTTTTGTTAAGTTATAGTTTCATTCAACAGACTTTTAATTCCATAAATATTTGGCTGTCTAATATATTAGGTGTGCTTCCCCAGTGGCTCAACACGTAAAGAATATGCCTGCAATGCAGGAGACACAGGAGGTAGGGGTTTGATCTCTGGGTTGGGAAGATCCCCTGGAGGAGGATATGACAACCCATTGCAGTATTCTTGCCTGAAAAATCCCATGGACAGAGGAGCCTGGAAGGCTACAGCCCAAAGGGTCACAGAGAGTCAGACATGACTCAGCCCAGCAACAACTAGTAATTAAATTCTTATTTATTGTAATCTAGTAATGATATTTATAGTAAGCATGTCTATGTGCTAGGCATTTTTCTGAGTACTTTGTGTTTATTAGGCACTCCATACTTTTTTTCAAAATGCATGTTATGTGTATTCACTCTATTAAAATTTGACTAAATAGTCTATTTTACTTGTATCCGTATGTTCTCTATATTGCTTTTTAGCTTATTCACTTCACTTGGACCCTTTTCTTTGTCCTACGTTTTTTCTAAGTAAATACTCTTTGGGAATCTCATCTTCTCTTGATGCTGTAGAGAGTCATGGTATTATATTTGTATTTCCTGGAAGAAATGTTAGAGCAAAGAAAGTGACAACCTTGAGTAGAGCAGTATTCACACTTCTCTTGGGAATTGCTATGTATAGTCTAGATGGACATTTGAAAGCCTATTTGTAGCCTGTTAACTGTATGATGTGAAGATCACAGAGCCAGAGACTGGAATAGTAGGTTGTTCCTGTGGCTCTGTTATCATTTTTATTTACTGGACTTTTTCTTTACAATGCTAAAATTATAAGATAGCGAAAAGAAAACTTGAATTCTATCCCAGAGCTTTCCTATCAGGATGAATAATCTGGTTTATCCACTGCTTTGGTCTTTGTTGCTTATCCACCTAGAGATTCTAGCTTTGTTTGTCAATTATGAACTTAAAAGATCAACATATAGAAAATGAGGTAAAATTTGCATCCAGTCAGTTTTGTTTTATAGTCACAGGCAAAAAGTTCAGGAACAAGATTGAAGCGATTGGTTAAAAAGCTTACTCTGTTTCCTAAGTAGTACTTTTTGCTCCCACAGTTTAATGCCACTGAAATTGGCATGTCTTAGAATCAGTGCATGTATTAAATATAGTAGTGTTTTTTTTTTTCGTCTTGAAAAACTGTTATTAAATAGTGTCTTAAAATATATGACACTTTAGAATCAAGAAAATAGTACTGGAATTCCTTGGAGGTCCATTGCTCAGGACTCCGAGTGTCCACTGCAAGGGGCATGGGTTTGATCTCTGGTCAGAGAACTAAGATCCCACAGCCTGTGCAGCATGGATGCAAAAAACAAAACAAAGAAATCGATGTGTGTGCACACTCTATTAAAATCTCTGTAAAGTGATTCACTGTATAGAGACATTTTTTTTAAAAGAAAAATGGTAACTTTTTGTGAAGAACGCTTTTCTGTGAATATCCTCATCCTTCCCAAGTTATCGTTATCTTAAATGCATACTTTTAGACTCTGTGTAATAAAAAAAGCCCTATAGCAACCCACAACAGTACTCTAGCCTGGAAAATCCCATGGACGGAGAAGCGTGGTAGGCTACAGTCCATGGGGTTGCAAAGAGTTGGATACGACTGAGCCACTTCACTTTTTCACTTTAACCCATTGATCACATATTTTGTTTGTCTTGCCTGGTTGCTCAGATAGTAAAGAATCAGCCTGCAGTGCAGGAGACTTGAGTTTGATCCCTGGTTCAGGAAGATCCCCTGGAGAAGGAAATAAGCACTCCAGTATTCTAGCCCGGAGAATCCCATGGACAGAGGAGCCTGGTGGGCTGTAGTCCACCAGGCCACAAAGCGTTGGGTACAACCGAGCTACTAACACTTTTAACTTTCAGTAGATTTGTTTACTTGATTTCTGAAATTACCCAATTACTTAAAAAAAAAATCTAATACTATTAACGTGTTTAATCGTGGATGTGTGTCTACTAAATAAATGTCTTGTGGTTAAATTTTTTTCTTATATTCTTTCTAAAATTTTTTGTGTATTTATTTTATTTTTGACTGTGTTGGTTCTTCGTTGCTGGGCGAGGGCTTTCTGTGGTTGTGGGGTGCAGGGCTACTCTCTAGTTGTGGTGCACGGGCCTCTTATTGTGGTGGCTTCTCTTGTTGTGGGGCGTAGGCTCTAGGATGCCTGGGCTTCAGTAGTTGTGCATGGCCTTAGTTGCCTCACAGCATGTGGGATCTTCCTGGACCAGGGACCTAACCCATGTCTCCTGCATTGGCAGGCAGATTCTTAACCACTGGACCACCAGGGAAGCCCTGTGTCCTTTTTCAGTAAAATGATTGCTTGCATCAGAAGACTTTGTTTGGCTTTACATAAATTTTCATTCTTGTTGACTGCTTCTAACTTTTGCTTTAACCCATAGGAGAATTAAAAGGAAATCATAAAGGAGGACTATAATAGTATTTATTAGTTGTCCCAGATTTGTATGCAAAAATGCTGGATATCCATGGTATGACTTCTAATAATGTCATTTTCTAATATGTTCACTGACTTTGCTACTTAACGTGATTATAAGATAAAGAATAAATGATATAAAAATGGTTAAAATTTAGCCTAGTCAGACAGAATCCACTAAGTATACGGTATTTTTTCTCTCAGTATGTCAGTGTTAAAAGACATTTTAACAAACATAAGAATTTGCTTTGAAGCTCTTTTAAAATAAATTTTATTCATTTTCCACAGTAAAGTTAGAATTAGCCATCTGATAATCAGCAATAGTAGCTGATTCATTTGTCCTTTTTTGACTTCCCTTTTTAGACTCATTTTTCTATCCTTAAGCTATTATGAAGAGAAAAGAAAAAAAAAAACCCTGCTTCTATAGGAAAGAGATAAATTCTCGCACCACCTTAAGCCTTGACAGCCCATGATAGTGTCCTATATCTACATGACACTGTCTACCTCATAATTAACTAGGGAGGAAGAGTAATTACGGAGAATATAGTAAGTTCTTGTTTAATTTGGAATCTGGTTTACTGATTTAAAGGTACTTTCTGCATTACATTTTTTTAATTGGTTGTAGAAATAGTAGATAGTGTAATATGGGAAAAATTTCTGAAAGCTTCCCAAATAGAGGGATTTTTATAGGTTCAGCCTATTTTCTTTTATTTATTTATTTATTTTCCATTTATTTTTATTAGTTGGAGGCTAATTACTTTACAATATTGTAGTGGTTTTTGCCATATATTGACATGAATCGGCCATGGATTTACATGTGTTCCCCATTCCGATCCCCCCCTCCCACCTCCCTCTCCATCCCATCCCTCTGGGTCTTCCCAGTGCACCAGCCCTGAGCACTTGTCTCATGCATCCAACCTGGGCTGGTGATCTGTTTCACCCTTGATAGTATACTTGTTTCAATGCTATTCTCTCAGAACATCCCACCCTTGCCTTCNACCCTCACCTTCTCCCACAGAGTCTAAAAGTCTGTTCTGTACATCTGTGTCTCTTTTTCTGTTTTGCATATAGGGTTATCGTTACCATCTTTTTAAATTCCATATATATGCATTAGTATACTGTATTGGTTTTTATCTTTCTGGCTTACTTCTCAGCCTATTTTCTGATACCCAAACCTCTAAGACTGTTGAATGATAATGATAACACAGCACTGTGAAATTCTGTAGAACCTTCAGGATGAAAAAAAATGAAGTATAATTTTATGATCAATTTATTATATTTTTATTTTTAAAAAATTGTTATTTCATGAATAATGCATATGATACTCTCAGGTAACTTGACAAATAAGCCAATTTATTAAATAACACTTTGTTCTCCAGTCATTCTGGAAAAGAGTTTACTTATTTTAGGATGTTTTGAAAATAGCATCATCTCAAGAGAAGAGCTCAGTTTATCAATAAGACTTTGAAAGCATGGATTGGAGGCAGAACTTATATTGTCTTTTGGTTTGTAAGAATGTATGTTTTGCAGGGAGTGCTAAAATAATTATGAAAAGAGTTATCTTTGGTACTAATAGTTCTTCATGGGACTTTTGCCTTAGTATAATAAAGGTAAATCAGTTCAAGATATAGACAGAATAATTTGTTACACACATTGCAATAACTTCTCAAATCTTTTAAGGACCTACTGTAGAACTGCGCCAAAGAAAAAAGCCAAAGTCTTCAGAAAATAAAGAATCTGCCAAAGAAGAGAAAATCAATGACACTCCAGTTCCTGAAAGAGCTCCAAAACGTAAGTTAGATTTGGGGAGTTTTTTTTTACTATTATAAAAATAGTTACATTAGGTAGTATTTTTACAGTAATATTTTAAATTATAAATATATTTTGTCTTAAGTATGTGGTGATATCAGTCAGCTTTCATTACGTTTTGCTATAGAATAATTCCTAAGTGTCACTGGCTTACAAAAAGCATTTATTTCTGATTAACTTGCGTATCGTGGCTGTCGGTTGGTTGATGAAGCTTCATGTGTTCTGAAGGAACAATCTCTATTTGGGATATGTTCTTGTGGCAGAGAAAAAGAGCAGGAGACAGGCAGAGTCATGCAGTACCTCTTAAAGGTTTTGCTGAACTGCATACTGTTACTTGTGCTTGCATGCTGTTGGCCCAAAGAAGTCTTCCAATCAATCCAGGCAGTGGGGTGGAGAAGTTTATTCTGACTACAAGGATGCATGGAAAGTTATGTGGTAATGGGCAGGGATGAAAAATCTTTACAGGAAAGGACAAGGTAGTTGGAAGTAATAATAATAGTCTACCACATTCTGGCCTTTTGGTTGTAAATATTTACTTCTCTCCCTCAGATAAAATACACTTGGTACCTCCCCAACTCCAAGGAAGATGCTCAGTCTTACCTAGTGAGGGCATCAGTCTTGAAGCCTAAGGTCATCTTATCAGGGTCTATTCGGGGTCATCTCTGACTCATTCTGATCCAGAGGCCGAAGAATGAAAAAAACAAGTTACTTGCTCTGTGTCAGGGTTCCCCAAACCCAGTCCTATGTTCAGAGATTGAACAATACAAAACAAAATCAGCAAAGGGAAAAGGCATATAGGCTGAAGTCTGCAAGAAACTAGGCAAAATCTTCCAGGACACATAGGACATGCATAATTCCTTCAGCCTCAATTTGTGGCATTTGTAGTTTTGTCTGCCTGGGAAGCTTATTAATAACTTTGCTCAGGATTTTTAGTGGTGGCTGATCATGTAACCTCTGCTTAATGCATGCAAAAGTTCTAGACTCCTAGAAAGAAAGCAGTAGGTGTGAAGCTTACTGTTTGCACAAATAAGTTAGACACAGTAAACCGTTAATTAGAAAATGATGGGAAACCTTGTGAAATCCAGGTTCCCAGAGACCTACCAAGAGCCTAGCTGTTAAGCAGGCTTTTCTTAGCAAAGCAGTTATAAGCCTGCTATGGTAATCTTTTCTGTACATGCCCCCTTTTCTGTTATACATTTTTGGTTGGAGACAGGATAACCAAAATAAATGCTTCCATTCAGAAAGAGGAAGAGTGAGAGACACATTAAACACTGGTCCACAGCAATTTTGAAATCCTACTAGGTAAATATGAGGTCTTCTCCTCTGGGGAAGGGAATGTTTCTTGATTAGGCACTAGCTGTTTTCCTTGGGGATAGTTTCCCAGTTCATTGTTCTTTGTGGTCCTTGGCTTTATTCTCTGAAGGTCCTTCCTTTTCCATTATCTTCCTGAACCATATCGAAAAGTGGCTTTGGAGAATATGTCATCCTTAGGAGCTGAACAGCTTTTACAATAGATTCCTCCCAAAGGAAGTTCAAAGCCACTTTATGTAAATTTGTTCAAATAAGATAAACATTTTGGGAGATGGAAAATAATAATCCATCATATGTGTGATAAATCATTTTATAAAACTGCAATTTTAGTACAGACTTTTGTTTTTATTCCTTTAGATAACAAGATCACAAAAGAGATTATAACTAGAGTACCTTGATTATGAACTGCTTTGATTGCAGGAAAAAGATCAATTAGAACAGAACTGGCCCATTTGCCAGCAGACATGAAGAGAAAAATAGGAGTCCAAAATTTCTGAGTCTTGTAGTGTTGAAGTTAGTATTATTTATCTTTTCAATTAGTAAAACATAAAATTGAGAAATAATTTGAGTAACAAAGGCTGATAAAGATGAATCCTTAGGGCAATGACCAAATCAAGGGCATGACTGGTCACATAGTCTGTTAAAATGTGTGAGGTTTAAAGTTCAGTTCAGTTGCTCAGTCGTGTCCGACTCTTCTGCGACCCCATGAACCACAGCACACCAGGCCTCCCTGTCCATCACCAACTTCCAGAGTCCACCCAAACCCATGTCCATTGAGTCAGTGATGCCATCTAACCATCTCATCCTCTGTCGTCCCCTTCTCCTCCTGCCCTCAGTCTTTCCCACCAGTAGGGTCTTTTCAAATGAGTCAGCTCTTCGCATCAGGTGGCCATTTTCTCATGATGTACTCTATAGTTCCTAGTAACTCCTTTCAGTTGAATAAAGCACTCAGGAAAAGAAAAAAGGGTGTGGCTTTTGTGACAAATAAGCAAAGCTTGATTAGCTCAAAATACATGTAGTTAAATCTCTGAGAGAGGCATATCTAAAAGAAAAATTTTGGGTATAGTTATTGGAGAACAGAGCTGACTGGAATCAAGTAGGTAAAAAACCAATAAAATTGTTTTTTTCTTTGCAAAAATGAATGATTTAATTTTGTAAAATTAAGGTACAACTTGCAATAAAATGCACAGAATCATCAGTATTAAGTGAATTTTGGTACTTGAATACAATTAAGATATGTAACATTTCCCTTATCCCAGAAAGTTCTTTTGTATCCCTTTCCAGTAGAGTTCCCCTGTACCCCCTAAAACAACCACTCTTCTGATATTTTTCAATATTGATTAATTTTGCATGTTGTAGAATTTCATGTAAATGGAATCACACAACATATATGCCTTTGTGTCTGGATTCTTTGGCTTAGTTCAGTATGTTTTCCTTAAAATGTAATCATTTTGAGATTCATTCATCTTGCTGTAAGAGTTTATTCCTGCTTTTCTAGTTTGATATTTGAGTAATTTCCAGGATTTAACTATTATGAATAAGGCTTCTATGCATACTTGTACCGGTCTTTTTGTGGACATCTATTTTTATTTCTCTTGGAGAAAGAAATGTCAAGCTACTCCAGTATTGTCTGGGAAATCCCATGGACAGAGTAGCCTGGTGGGTTACAGACCATGAGGTCACAAAGATTCAGACATGACTTAGTGACTAAATAACAGCAACAGCAATTTTTATTTCTCTTAGGTAAATACCTAGGCAAATTGTCAGCTAAGCATAGAGAGAGACATACTGTCAACAGAGCTGCCAGCCTAGGTTAAGAAGAACCCAACTATTCATGTCTTGAAATGATGTTTGAATCCCTAACTTTCTATGTTCAGGAAGCAGGCTGAGTAGGCTGCTCTTAGGGTATCTTTCTTGAGGAGCGAGTGTTTTTTGCCTTTGAAGGGAAGTAGATATTTGTGATGAGTGGGGCAAACCCTGGTGGATTCTTCAATTGTTCTCTAATATTTTCTCCCTTCCCTGAAAATGCGTTACACGTTCTTTCCCATTACTGTGTTGATCTGGAGTGCCTCTCTGAAGCAAGTGTACTTCCCTACCCTGTTGTCAGATTTATATATGTGACTTGCCTGAGCCCATGGAGTGTGAGTTAAAGTAGCAGTGTACTTGCTCTAATCAGAAATTGGAAGAGGCATTATATGTTTTTGCCTGTTCTGTTCTTTTCCTCTGTAATGAGAACAGCATGTCCTAAATAGGGACTGATTCCGTTCTGGAACTCTGAAGATACAAGAAGAGCCACAGCTAATATAAAATCTGGAATTGAGTGGAGAGTGACTGCTGATCCAAAATCCATAGTAACATGAGTGAGAAACAAATATTTGTTTTCTAAGCCATTGGAAGTATGGGGGTCACCTTTTCACTACAGCAAAGCCAACTAATACAGTGATCATTTAAAATGTTTTGGAAAATACAGTATAAGCAATTATTCTATTAAGCAATTTAGAGATAGCTACTATAAAACAGTATTTTCCCCCAACTACAAAAATATATTTTTAGGATCGAAAATGTGAAAATAGAGAAAAGTATAATAAAAATAAAATATATGCGTAATTCTACTAGATAATAGCTATTATTATCTACTAGATAATAGCTATTAATTGATGCTTTTGAACTGTGGTGTTGGAGAAGACTCTTTGAGAGTCCCTTGGACTGCAGGGAGATCCAACCGGTCCATCCTAAAGGAGATCAGTCCTGGGTGTTCATTGGAAGGACTGATGTTGAAGCTGAAACCCCAATACTTTGGCCACCTGATGCGAAGAGCTGACTCATTTGAAAAGACCCTACTGCTGGGAAAGATTGAGGGCAGGAGAAGGGGATGACAGGATGAGATGGTTTGATGGCATCACCAACTCAATGGAAATGGGTTTGGGTGGACTCTGGAAGTTGGTGATGGACAGGGAGGCCTGGCATGCTGCGGTCCATAGGGTCACAAAGAGTTGGACACAACTGAGTGACTGAACTGAGCTGAATAGCTATTATAATTTTGACAAGTATTGCTTATATTTTTTCAATGTATTTATACCTTTTTCTTTTGTTTATTTTACTTTTTGTGAAATTAAATACTATGTTTCTTCTTTATTTGGCTATGTGGCTTGTGGGATCTCAGTTTCCCAACAAGGGAGTTAACTTGGGACTGAAACATACAGAAGTTTTTTGATTAGGCCTGTTTGTGACTAATATAACTTAACTGGAAATCAATCCTTTATTTTCTAGTTTCCAATTTAAATGGTAATTTTTTTTTTGTGGCCATGCTGCACAGCTTGCAGGATCTCAGTTCTCTAACCAGGAATTGAGCTCTGGTTGGGCCATGGCAGTGAAAGCCCGTAATTCTAACCACTAGACCACCAGGGAACTCCCATAATAATTTTTAAATAAATAATTTCCAGGACCCAGAGCTCCTTATTTTCTCTAAAACGTATATACTTACACACTGAACACTGATAGCTTGATTCCAACCTTGACTTTCCAGAATCTTCACAAACAAAATAGTACTAAGTTAAGGCATTTATGGGCTTCCCTGGTGGCTCAGAGGTTAAAGCGTCTGCCTGTAATGCAGGAGACCTGGGTTTGATCCATGGGTCGGGAAGATCCCCTGGAGAAGGAAATGGCAACCCACTCCAGTATTCTTGTCTGGAGAATCCCATGGAGAGAGGAGCCTGGTAAGCTACAGTCCGCTGGATCGCAAAGAGTCGGACACGACTGAGCGACTTCACTCTCTCACTCTCTCTCAAGGCATTTATATGTAGGATTTGGTTGAATGTATTTTTTGTAATAGCCCTTGATTATCAGGATTAATTTTCATTGTCCAGGAATTACTTTAGAAGATACAGGAAAAGATACATGTTTAAAAACTGTATAGCACTTTTACCAAATTACCATGTTAGGTAAGTTTTCTTGTAGTCTTTTTATAGGTTACATTGTATCAACACTGCTTTAACTATCTATCTTATATATTTTTGCAAATAAGCTTTTGTAGCCCAATAAAAATAACTATTATTTACTGGTCTCTGAGCTTTGTGCCAGGGCAAATGCTTTCTATTTGCTATTGGAAACAGTAATTGTAAAATATTTGTGTCGTGCTGATTCTGTTTTTAAAATATTTATTTATATATTTATTTTCATCTTTGGTCAAGTCAAATAACTTGGGGGATCTTGGTTCCTTGACTGGGAAAACAGAGTCCTAACCACTGAATCACCAGGAAATATGTGCTATGCATACCAGTATTTATTAAATAATTTATTAAGCTGAAGTTTTAGTTTAGCTAAATTAATAAGTCAACAGGTTTGTTTTTACAAACCTGGCAATCATTGAGTAACATAACACTGGGCATTGGACCTTGAGGCCTGGGCTTAATTTACTGAATCTTTTTTTCCCCCCATAGTTTTATTGAGACATGATTGATATACAGCACTGTACAGGCATAATGATTTAACTTGCATAGATCATAGAATAATTATCACAAAAGTTCATTAGATATAGAATTAAAGAATAGAAATTACAGAATTAAAGAAATATAAAAATTTTTTTTCCTTAAGAACTCTTAAGCTTTACTCTCTTAACAGCTTTCATATATAACATAGCAGTATTAATTATATTTACCATATAGTACATAAGTACTTACATTTACCATAAGTACTAGGAGTACATTGCCTCCCTAGTACTTACTTATCTTATAGGTGGAAGTTTGTACATTTTGACTGCGTTCATTCAGTTCCCTCTTCCCCACCTGTCACCTCAAGCCTGATCTTTTTCTCTCTGAGTTTGTTTTTGAGGTATAATTGACCTACAACACTATGTTAGTTCCTGTTAAACAACATAGTGAATCGATATTTCTATGGATTTCTAAATGATGACCACCGTAAGTCACCTTGCTGTCTGTTACCATACAAAGATGTATTCTGTCACAGGGAGGAACTGTTAGCGAGTTTGAGATTGATGTGTACACACTGCTGTGTTTAAGATGGATAACCAGCAAAGACCTGCTGCAGATCACTGGGAACGCTGCTCAGTGTTAGGTGGGAGCCTGAAGGGGGGAGGGTCTGGGGAAGGGCAGCTCCACATATGTGTATGGCTGAGTTGCTTTGCTGTGTACCTGAAACCGTCAAAGCATTGTTAATTGCCTATATTCCAAAGTAAAATTAAAAGTTCGTTTAAAAAGCTATATAATCATCGACTATAGTCCCCACACTGTGCATTTCATACCTGTGATTCATTTATTTTGCAGCTAGAAGTTTGTACGTCATAATCCTCTTCACCTATTTCTTCATCTCCCCACCTCTCTGCTGTCTGGCAACCACCTTTTTGTTCTCTGTACTTGACTCTTTCTGCTTTATGTGTTTATTTGGTTTTTTTAGATAACACATAATAGGTGAAATCATATGGTATTTATTATTATTATACTGAATCTTAATAGCTGTAGAAGGGCTCAATCATCCTGTGTGTAGAAAATTCAAATGTGTTCTATGCTTTTGACAAGAAGTATTTACATACATATATATATGTAACAGTTGTGTATGATGTTTTAAATATATAATCATCAACAGTCATTATCTTGTATGATTTGAAGAGCTATAATTTGTAGTGTGTGAAGTATTCCTCAATAAAAAATTACTTGATAAGGAAAAAAAAATAATAGTAATTCTAAATGAACTTGTATTTTTTTCTCTAGATATTTGGTAGTACATTTCTTTTATTCCTTTTTTTAAATTGATAGACTTTTATTTTATTTATTTTTTTAAACTTTTTCTTTTGTATTAGAGTATAGCCAATTAACAAACAATATTGTGATAGTCAGGTGGAAACTGAAGGAATTCAGCCATAATATACATGAATCCATTGTATATTATGTATATCCATAATATATATAATATATATGTATCCACTCTACCCTGATAGACTTTAATTTTAAAAACTATTTTTAATTTATAGAAGAATTGAGTAGATAGTATAGTAAGAGTTCCTATCTTGCACATCCCCTGGTAAGAATTTTCCCTATTAGTAACATTTTATATTAGTATGGTTCATTTACTACAAATAATGAACGATTTTATTGATACATTATTTTTGTTTTAGCATCCATAATACATATTATTAATTTTATTAGAGTATTGTTGCTTTCAGTCGCTTTAGATACATTTTTTTTTTTTAAGTAGTTGATAGAATACTCCATATACTATCTTGTGTGCTCAGTTGCTCAGTCATGTCTGACTCTCTGCTACCCCATGGGCTGTAACCCACCAGGCTCTTCTGTCCATGAGATTTCCCAGGCAAGAATACTGGAATGGGTTGCCATTTCCTCTTCTAAGAGATATTCCCAGCCAAGGGATCCAACCCGCCTCTCTTGCGTCGGCAGGTGGATTCTTTACCGCTGCGCCACCTGGGAAGCCCTCAATACATTATTTTTTTAACTAAAGCCCATACTTTCTTTAGTGTTCATCTAATGTCCTTTTCTGTTAAAAAAATAAGGGATCACATCCAGGATACTACATTACTTGTAGTTATAATGTCTCCATAGACTTTTCTTGGCTGTGACAATTTCTCAGACTTCCCTTATTTTTGATGACCTTGACAGTTTGGCAGAGTACTGACCAGGTTTATTGTAGGATACCCCTCTATTGGAATTTGACTGCTGTTTTTCTAGTGACTAGACTGGGATTATGTATTTTGGGTAGGAAGACCACAGAGTTAGAATGCCATTTCTGTCAAACCATGTCAAGGATGCATACTACCTTTGATTACTTTTTCTTTTTAATAGAATTGCATACATATAAATGTCATCCATCACTGATTACTTTTAATATGCCTTTTCAGATATATTATTTCAGCGCTTTGCAAAGATATTCATTGGCTGTCTTGCAGCGGTTACTAGTGGTATGATGTATGCTCTCTATTTATCAGCGTATCATGAACGGAAATTCTGGTTTTCCAACAGGCAGGTAAGAATAAAGAATTTTGAGCATATGCTTCAATATTTAATACTAATGTTAAAAATGTGTTTTCCAGGGAGCCAAAACATAAAAGCACATGGTAATATGACAGGTGTTTTCTTATGTTGTGGCTATAAGCCATTAGGAACAAAATGGTATAGAAGCTATTTTGAGTCATGGTATCAACCTGAAAGGTATAATAGATTGTATTTCAAGGTCATAGAATAGAAACAATGAGGGTGCTTTTCTTCATGCAATTGATTTATCAGGGACTTAAAAAAATTTTTTTTTAATTAAAGGATAATTGCTTTACAGAATTTTGTTGTTTTCTGTCATACAGCAACAAGAATCAGCCATAGGTACACCCATGTCCCCTCCCTCCCATCTCCCTCCACATCCCACCCTTCAACCTGTCACAGAGCCCCTGTTCCCTGAGTCACACAGCAAATTTATCAGGAACTTTTGTTGACAGTGGAATGTTATAAAGTCTAGTCAGCTTCTTAGTAGTTTTGGTAGTTTACATTTATGAAATATTCTGTGGATGTTTCAGCATCAAAGTATTTTAACTTTTGGATTACATGATTAGAATGTCTGGAGGTGCTGAAAATGATTAGCAGACATAATGGTATTTATTAAAATGTTGCCTCATATTAGTATGTTTCATGTTTGGTTTTAAATCATGTGTAACCCACAGATGTTTGCTGTGGTTATATTCATAATTCATTTGGCCTTTGAATAAGTTTGTTTTCAGACTTATCTTTGCAGTCACATATATCTGTAGTATGCACTGGCAAAGTTCACAGTGTTACTACTTGACTTTAAAGATTTTTTGTTTTTGTTTTAGGAAAAACTCTTTGTTGGTGTTCTTATTTTTGAGCAAATAGTCAAGCTGACTATATGTTTTTCAGACATTGGTTTATCTAACAACACCTGAACATTTAACTGTGAATAGTTACTCATCTGTGTTGATTTGACCAAGACTTTTGCATAGCCTGTTTTTCCTTGAAAATAGTAGTTCTCAACACTGGATGTGCTGTAGATTCATCTGGGATGATTTAAAAACTAACTCACAGATTCTTAGGTGAAGCAGAGGGAGTATCTGGGGTCAATATTGCACAGAGTCTTTCCACATGATTCTGTTATGTAGGCAGAATTGAGAACAACAAAGGTTTGGTAATCTAGAAGACATTCATGAAGAACTTTGTTTTCCAGAGCATTGTGATGAATCAGGGGTATTGGCATCATCTGGGCGCTTTTTCAGAGTTGCGTATTCTCAGGCCACACTTTAGAATCAGAATCTGTGTTTGAATAAGATCTTTAGGAATTTATATGCACATTTAATTTGAGAAGCAGTGATTAAGAGTTTACATCTTTGAAATTGTAAAAAGAAAATCCTGTATCCATTCATAAAAAATGATTTTCAGGAAATTTATTTAAACTAGTAAACTCTAAATGAGAAAAAAGGGGCTCAAAAAAAGGGCTCTAGATCTGGTCAGACAAATCTAGAAAAGACTATATGAGATTCACATTGCATAATGATTACCTAAATTCTGAAGAGTCTTGCAATTAAGAAATTCATTTAACTTTCTTTAATCTAACCTTTACACAGCTTATTTAACTACAGAACTCTTTATAGATAACACCCCTTTAATCTTAATAAGTTCTATTGACCAAACTTTGGGGAAACTGCTCTGATATCGTTTGTATCATACAAATGATATGGTACAATTTTATCAAGTTATGATAAAATCATGTGTGAAAATAACTGTTTCATTTTAAAAAATTATTGATTTGTGAAAGTTTGATTCAGCCTGAAAAGCACAGATTTCAGTGTTTTTTAATATCTATATTCTTGGTTTGTTATAGCCCAGTTTAGGAATTTTAAGATTTATTTACTTTTCTGGAAGTTCATTTGAGAATCACAGATTAGTTATCTGCTGCTCTTCTAAATCCCTAATTATAGGCTTGCTTTTCTGGATACATAGGGAAATGGAATAGCAATAGAAAAATAATACTTTCTTCTTAAACTTATATTTTTATTATGGACTTGTGACACCTCAGCTATCATTTTTTATTACCTGCCATACCATTCTTGTGCTCCTATGATAATACTTTGGGTTTTCCTTCTCGATTTTTCTTATATATAATAGGCAGATAACTTATGAGTTACAATCCAGTTTAAACCTTAGGTGTTTCATTTAAGTGCTTGCCAGATTATGGAAAAATTTAACCTTATTAATATGGCCACTAGTGATTAAAGGAAAATTCAAATATGTCTTTGGATAAAAGAATAAATAAATAACATTAATTTGGAATATGAGGAGAGAAAAAGATAGCAGTTGAAATTTAAGTCCCTGAGTATTTCAATAATCATTTAATTTTCTTTTAGGAGCTTGAACGGGAAATCACATTTCAGGGTGATAGTGCCATTTATTACTCTTATTATAAAGATATGTTAAAGGCACCTTCATTTGAAAGAGGTATGATAACTACATTTGTATATTTAATAACAGTATTTTCCTAAAATAAAGCATTGTTCTATGTGGGAGCTCTTGAATGTGGAGGTTTGTCTCAGAATATAGATATTGTTCTTTTCATGTAGTTAATTTAAAAATTGGAAAAGGAAGGCACAGAGTATTATATTTTTACATCCTTCTTGATTATAAAGTATTTAATGACCTCTGAATAACATGTTCAATTTTCATAAAAGCAGAATAAATAACCTGGAGAAAAATGTTTCTGACTGTAGGTGTGTACGAACTGATGCACAATAACAAAACTGTATCTCTGAAGACTATAAATGCAGTTCAGCAAATGTCTCTATATCCAGAACTTATGGCCAGCGTTTTATATCAGGCAACTGGTAGCAATGTATGTGTCTCTTTTGACTTTAATATTCATTTTCTCACATATTTATGAATATTCAAAATTATATACTGTCATCCTATTGTCTCCTCCTCTTTTTTTCCCCAATTAGGAGATTATTGAGCCAGTATATTTCTATATTGGCATTGTTTTTGGATTGCAAGGAATATATGTTATTGCTTTATTTGTTACAAGTTGGCTTATGAGTGGAACTTGGCTAGCAGGAATGCTAACAGTTGCATGGTTCATTATTAACAGGTAAGAAAGGTGTTTTTAATGAAACTTTACAACTTTTTGTGACTGTGGTAGTCAGAGTTCTAAAAATGGCTCCCCCCCTCCAAACTTTCCATGCCCCTAATTCCTACCTGTGAATATGAGATATCATTCCTGTGGTTGTGTTATGTTGTATGGCAGAGTTGACCTTAAGGTGGGATGATTACCTGGTGGGCCTGTTCTAATCGTGTGAGCCCTTAAAAGTGAGCAGCTTTCTGTAGCTGGTAGAGAAGGGAAGTCAGAGATACTTGAAACGTGAGAAGAATTTGGTACCTTGTTGGTGGATTGAAGTGAGGAGGAAATGAATTCTGCCAACAACCAGTGAGCTTGTAGGAGGACTGCAAGGCCTGGATGAGAACTACAGCCCCAGTTGCTGCTTTGATTTTAGCCTTAGGAGACAGTAGCCTTAGCCTTAGCCTTAGGAGAACAGAGAATCAATCTCGTCATACTGTGCTGGGTTTGTGAGCTAATAAATTTGTGTTCTTTCAAGCCACTACATTTGTGGTCATTTGTCACTCAACAGCTGAAAAATAAAACACTCACCTCTGCCTCTCTTTTTTCCCAAACATAGCAACATTGGCGTACATGGATACACTTCATCTTTCCTCATTTATTTAAAATTGATTAAAAAAAATTGATGACATAGCTTCATGAAAAGAAGGAAGATGCATCAGCTATATCAGTTTTAAGCCAACCACTTTATAAATTAATAAATCCATTAATTTGGATTAATGTGTGCTTTAGATTAATAAATCTATTCCTTTTGGTGATCAGAGGAGTACCACTTCTTTAATAGTGAAGTACAAAGAGAGAAGGGGATGGGGCTGTTTTGAATTAGAGGGCTGAAGTTTTTGTGGCATTGGTCAGTGTCAAAAACTTGTTTTTTCAATGATCCTTGTTTTGCTTTTGAAAAGTACTTCTACACAGCACTATCTCTCCATAACACTTAATGTGATTAAATTTTAGAATATGAGACATTTCTTTTGTTATACATTTTCTTTTGGCAACTGCCAAATGAAAAATATGATAACTTCCACGTTACTGAGATTCAGATTTAGGGCTATATTTCTAACTGAGCTTTGTTTAGGGTCATATGCTGGCAACATTTGATGTAAGGGATTTGGAAAATCTTCCTTAGGGCCTTCCCTGGTGGCTCAGTGGTAAAGAATCTGTCTACCAATGCAGGAGACATGGTTTGATCCCTGATCTGGGAAGATCCCACATGCTGCTGAGCAGCTAATCCCTTGCACTGCAGCTACCGAGTTTGTGCTCTGGGCCAGGAGCTGACACTGGTGAGCCCGTGTGTCCATGCTCCACCACAAGGAAGCTACCGCAGTGGGAAGCCCGTGCACCACAAGTAGAGAGCGGCCCCTGCTCACCACAGCTAGAGAAAGCCCGCGCAGCAATGAAAACCCAGCATAGTCAAAAAGAAAACAAAACAAACTTCCTTAGAAGTTTCAAGTATAGCTTGCCAGCTTTTATGAGTCAGGTATGTTTTTTTTAAAGTACAGGGATGGGGGGCTTTCCTGGTGGCTCAGTAGTAAGAACCCACCTACTAATGCTGGAGTCGGGGGTTTGATCTCTGGGTCAGGAAGATCCCCTGGAGAAGGAAATGGTAACCCATGACAGTATCCTTGCCTGGGAAATCCCATGGACAGAGGAGCCTGGTGGGCTGTAGTCCTTGGCGTTGCAAAAGAATTGAATAGTTGGACACAACTTAGCAACAAAACAACAATTATTTAAAATAGAGACCTTCTAAAAGGATTGCTTTGTAGACTATCTGATGTATAATAGATCAGCCCCAAACTTAACTTAGAACAGCAGACATTCTGTCTCACCATTTCTGGGGGTCAGGAATCCAGAGTGGCTTATCTGGGTGGTTCTGGCTCAGGGTTTCATGTGAGATTGAGTCAGTAATTGGATGGGGCTATAGTCATCTGAAGGTCTGAGCGGCCTGGCCCGTTTTTCCTCTTCACTCATGTGGCTTTTGCAGGAAGCCTCAGTTCCTCACTGGGTATTGTCTTGAAGGCCTTAGTTTCTCATCATGTGGACCTCTGCAGAGTGCTGCTCACAGCTTGGTTTAAGGTGAATGATGCAAGAAAGGCTGGAGTGAATGTGTCGTAGTGGAAGCCAGATATATTTTATAACCTAACCTCAGAAATGATAGAACATTGTTCTGCCATATTCTGTTGGTCATATAGACTTACCATGGCACAAAGTGGGAAGTGGCTACATGGGTTGTTAATACCGGGTTGCTGTTCAGTCACTAAGTTGTGTCTGACTCTTGCGACACCATGGACTGCAGCCTGCCAGGCTCCTCTGTCCATGGGATTTGCCAGGCAAGAATACTGGAGAATGTTGCCATTTCCTTCTCCAGGGGATCTTCCCGACCCAGGAGGCAGGGGCTTTTCTGAACCATGTTGGAGGCTGGCTTTAATACTAATTTCATTTAATCCCTAGATCTTTCTTCATCAGAAGTTCAAAGAGAGAGACCAGGCAACTTTTCCATGTAAAAATAACAGCATTAAAAAATAAATAAGACTCCCTGTCAAATAAAATATTTTAAAGATCTTAGTGAGAATTGTAACAAAATTGCCTTATTATAATTCAGTTGCCTTATTAAGTTGCCTTGTTTAATGACACAGTATATCCTGGGTGGCTGGAACAGGAGTTAGGTAGAAAAATTAATCTGATATATTCTGTTAAAATGTATCTTTTAGCAATTTAGAAATTCTTAGCAAGTAGTTTTTCTTTATATGTTTGTTTTGGGTTGTTTATTTTTTGGTATATATTTTTCTTTTGTTTTTTTGGCCACATGTTACGTGGCTTTGGGATCTTAGTTCCCTGACCAGAGATTAAACCCACATCCCCTGCAGTGGAAGCAGAGAGTCTTAACCACTGGACCACCAGGGAGGTCCCAGATTGGTATATATTTTATATGGCAAAATATATTTTAATGCCAAGAAAAAATATGCCATCTTTTTTATTCATCAGTTCTGGTTTATATATGATTGCCTGGAAAAGTATAAAAAGATATTAGTTATTCCATTGTATTATGAGTATTAATTGTGTTATTATTGACATTTTGTGTTCCTTAATATTAGAATTAGAAAGCAGGATAGTAAAGTAGCTCCTGTTTGTTCAAATTGAAGGATGTAGGCATACTAGAGAATTCAAGAAAATTTCAGGAAATAGCACTGTGTATAACGTAGTGGGGGGAAGTAAGATGATTCCCTCTGAATAGTCTTATCACCAAAATGGGGTAATCTGTGTCCAGTCTTCATGTATAAACAATATAGAAATTGCTCTTGGTCCCTTACTGATCTTCTCATCTACAAATATACCAAAAAATCACTTTCAGTGGACCCAACTTTGTATTTGAAGAGCAAAAAAATTATCTCTGATTAAAAGTCTATATTAAGTTTAATCTTTAGCCAAAAAAAGGTTACTAAACACATTGGTGGTTAATAAAAGGTAAAATACGAGGAATGCACATGTTGCGGAGTTAACAGGAAACAGTGGTAATACATGGTGCTGGATCTATAATAATCATATCGGTATACTCCAGATACTTGTGGAATTATAAGGTTTTTCAATTTTAGATTCCAGTTTTCCCCAGGAATTTCATTTTATCCAAAAAAGTAATTTTAAAAATAAGAGAAGATATCACTGCCTCAGTAGTATTAATACTACTGCCTCAGTAGTATTATTTGTAGTAAAATGAAAGATTAGAAAACAACCTAAATATAAGGGAACTAATAGGTAAACTATAATACATCGATGCAAGAGAACATATAGCTATTTGAAATGATACTAATATTGCATAGGTGTTTTTCAGCTTTCACACATGATCCATAGACATGCCAGGCTGTTTTTCACATCTAATCTAAATCAGAGTTTGTGAGCTTCCCTGTTTGCTCAGTGGTAAAGAATCCACCCACCAGTGCAGGAGACATGGGTTCCATCCCTGGTCCAGGAAGATGCCACGTGCTGTGGAGCAGCAAAGCCCATGGGCCACAGCGGCTGAGCCTGTGCTCCAGAGCCTGGGAGCCACAGCTAGTGAGCCCACCTGCTGGAACTACTGAAGCCTGTTCATTCTAGAGCCCCCGCAATAAAAAGAAGCCCCTGCAGTGAAAAGTCCACACACCACAACTGGACACTACCCCCATGACTAGAGAAAAGCCCATGCAGACGAAGACCCAGCACGGCCAAAAGCAAATAAAAAAAAAAGTCAGTGTTTCTCAAACTTCACATATGTATATTTGAAACTTTATAATCATGGATTTCATGTGTTGACTTAAATAATCTGAATCATGCGTGCTCAGTTGCTTCATTTGTGTCCAACTCTGTGGCCCCATAGACTGCAGCCTGCCAGGCTCCTCTGTCTGTAGGACTCTCCAGGCAAGAATACTGGAGTGGGTTGCCATGCCCTCCTCTAGGGGATCTTCTCGACCCAGGGATTGAACCTGCGTCTTCTGCATTGGCAGGTGGGTTCTTTATCACTAGCACCAATGGGAAGCCCAATTTGAATGATAATGTTACTTAAATAGAAAACATAAAAGTATGTTTTCAAGCTCCTTGTGCTGAAAACATTTATGCTAGTATTGAAATCAATTTACTAATGAAGTAACTTACTAGTAAAATAATAACTAGAAACTTTAATGTGAAAAATTATATTTTGCTAAAGCCTAATTTCTACTCAGCGTGTATATAGTACCGGGGCTTCCCTGCTGGCTCAGTCGTGAAGAACCTGCCTGCTTATGTAGGAGACATGGGTTTGATCTGTGGGTCAGGAAGATCCTCTGGAGAAAGAAATGACAGTTCACGCCAGTATTCTTGCCTGGGAAATCCCATGGACAGAGTAGCCTGGCAGTCTACGGTCCATGGGGTTACAAAGAGTCAGACATGACTTAACGACTGAATAACATATACCACTCCACTAGGTTCTTTTGAGTATGGCAAACCTACATAACTGGGTACTGTGAGATGACTCAGATCTCATGTTGCTTGTTATCCATTATGAAAGCTTTTTTTTTTTTAACCATAGTGATCTGTACATTTTGTTTTTACTTGGCAATACATCACTTAGCGTTAAGAAAACCATCTCATGTTTTTTTTCTGATTAACCCAAGGCAATTAAAGTAGTACTGTGTAACCAATTGGATTGTTAACAAACATGAAAGTGAGTCCTGAAATCTTTTGGCAATAATGGGTTACAAAGTGGTCATCCAGTTGATTCAGGTTATGTTTATGCTATGATGTATTTGAAATGAAAACACAAAAACTCAGAGTTGGCTGATCTCTGGGAATATATCCATAGGCCCAGTTGAAGAAAGTAGTTACTATTTGAACTGCGGGTTTGTGCTGCTCTCTGCTCGACTCTGCCACTGGGGAGAAAAAGTCAGTCTCACTGGATTTTGTCACATCCCATTGTTACCCTTCTGGTTCTTACAGCCACCAGGCATGGTGGTGTGGGGAAGAGCGTTGGGTAGCACAGGCATTCAGGACTGGGGCTGTGAGGAGGCTTGTTCATGTAGAGAATAACTGGCAGAGTTACTCAGTTTTTGCTGCAGTGACTAAGAAGTTTCCCTCATCCCTTCCCAGACAGTGTTTCTGGTGCACAGTTTTGTAGGTTTGATGTGTGCGTTGGGTAGGGGTAGTTAGTCTTTGGAAATGAGGATTACAGGTTCAGCTTCCCAATTCTGGGCTGGTAGAGTGGTTGGCAAAGTCCTGACTTGAGACTCAACATCCTCTCCTTCCTGTTTGCTGACTGATGACATATGAATATCTTGTTTTGTTTTATAAAGCTAACTTTCACAACAAATTTCCAGAAGTAATATTGTATGAGAATAGGTGGTCTTTAGATACATGATATTCACAAATGGTATTGCAGCAATCACATTTGGAGAAGAAATACTTACTGCATACACAATAAAATAAATTCCAATTGGGTTAAAGAATTAAACATAAACAATGAGACCAATAATCACTATACAAAAACATTGGTTCCTGTTTTTAAAAACTGTTGTAGGTAAAGTGAAAAACAAGGTAAGTATATAACGATAGGAAGGAACTGGTTAGGTTATGATAAACATGTATAGGTATGTACCATGACCTTTCAATGTTCTTGAAGTTTATGGGTGTATATATTATAGAAGGCTGCTCATAATATATTGTTAAGTAAAAATAGATCATACAGAGTTATAAAAGAGGAAAGACCTAATACTGTTTACTAAGTTCTAGAAACTGTATTAAGTGTTTTTCAGCTTGTATTTCGTTTGATCTTCATGTTTTTAATATGTGTGTATATATATATTTTCAATTACATATGTATTCATAGAACGCAGTTTATTTTCTAAAACTTTTTAGCAGTTTTGAGGTATAATTGACATAGAACAAACTGTACATATTTAAAATGTACCAGTTGATAATTTTAGATGTTTAGACACACTTGTAAAACCATCAACAAAATCAATATAATGTTATCACCACCCAGAGTTTAGTTGTGCTATCTGGTAATTTCTCCCTTGTTCCTCTTATCCCACCTCTACCGCTGTTCCACTGTCTTCAGGAAACTGATGATTTGCTTTCTGTCACTGTAAATTAGTTTGCAGTTTCTAGAATCTTATATAAATGGAGTCATGCGGCATATAATTTTTTGTTTTTTCTTCCAGTCAGCAGAGTCATTTTGAGAATGACATATGTTGAGTGTATCAATAGTTTGTGCCTTTTTATTGCTAAGTAGTAGCCTATTGTATGGCTGTGCCACATTAAAAGGATGTTCCCCAGCCAGGGACTGAACCTGCGCACATGGCAGTGAGGCTGCAGCGTCCCAACCACTGGACTGCCAGCGAGTTCCCCTGTACCACAATTTAAAAAATAATAATTTTACTTCCTTATTTATGGCTGTGCTGGGTCTTCATTGCTTTGCGCGGCTTTTCTCTAGTTGTGTCTAGAGGGGCTCCTCTTCATTGCAGTGCTCGGGCTTCTCGTTGTGGTGGCTTCTCTAGGTGCGGAGCACAGGCTCTAGGCGCATGGGCTTCAGTCGTTGCAGCCCACAGGCTCAGTAGCTGCTTGGGGCCCCGAGAGCACCTGGCCCAGTCGTTGAGGCCCACAGGCTCAGTAGCTGCTTGGGGCCCCGAGAGCACTTGGGCCCAGTCGTTGAGGCCCACAGGCTCAGCAGCTGCTTGGGGCCCCGAGAGCACTTGGGCCCAGTCGTTGAGGCCCACAGGCTCAGCAGCTGCTTGGGGCCCCGAGGGCACCTGGCCCAGTCGCTGAGGCTCACAGGTTTAGTTGCTCTGCAGCACGTGGGGTCTTCCCGGACCAGGGGTTGAACCCCTGTCCGCTGCCTTGGCAGGTGGGTTCCCAACCGCGTGCCACCAGGGAAGCCCCTGTACCGTGGTTTGATTGGGCCAGAAGAAATGCAAGCATGTTTGTCTCCATTAGGAGAATTATGCAGCAGTTTTCATCAAGTATTTTAAAGCAGTAGCACCATTGTGTTTGTGTGTGTGTGTGTGGCGGGGAGTAGCCATTGAATTTATGGAGATCCAAATTTAACTGTTGAGAAGGGAGTCTGTTGTGGTAGAGGACATGCATAGGAGATAACACTCAATGAAGATTGATGGAGGAGAAACTTATGAGGCACCTCCAAAAGCATTCTGTTTGTGATTCTGGAAATTTTCAAAGCTCTCTAAATCTATGATATACAGGGCTACTACAATGTTAATTCTGGATAACCTGCTGATTGAAAGCAGTATTAAGTAGATATTAGAGGATACACATTGTAATCCTAATTGTGTCATCTTCTAGCTGTATGACTTGATTAAGTCACCACTTATCTGAGCTTCTTATTCCTTTTACGTAAGAGTTAGTATTAGAACTGCTGATTCCATAGTGCACACTGTGGTCTAGAGCGATAACCATGTCTAGAGATATCCCTCTAGAGAGGGAGAACCATGTCTTTTCAAAGGGAAGGGAAGATGGGGGTTGAACTCCAGTGTACTCATAACAAGTTGTGTGTTGTAGCATGAGGCTGTACTTGCCCAGAGCAGAGATGCCTTTTGTAACTTCTCACAAAGGCCCATCTATTCATCAAGCAGACACAGCAGCACTGAGTCTTCCCGGGTGGGAGGTAAGGTAGTAGTGAAACACTGAATTTGTTGTAAGATGTATAGGTAATGGTGGCTTTGTCCATGCCTACCTCACAGGATATGGAGAACAATGAGATGTGTGTGAAAGTGCCTTGAAAAGTGTAGTGTTACACAAATATAATGTCTTGCTCTTTTGCTGTTCATCTGTGGTTTATTTTAGGGTAGATACAACAAGAATTGAACACTCCATTCCTTTAAGAGAAAACTGGGCACTACCATATTTTGCATGCCAAGTTGCTGCACTTACAGGCTATTTAAAAAGCAACTTAAATTCTTATGGAGAGGTAAGATGCAAATTTATTTGTCACAATTCTGATGTATTGCAAATGTGGTATATAATTTTAAAGCTATTCATATGAAAAATTATATTCAGCGAAACCTAGTTACTACATGATAATCTTGTTATAACTTTTCCTGTAGTATGATTGGGAGTCAATTATATTTAGGAGAAGGGAGATGTTACCTTGTTTCAGTGCAGTTACTTGACAAATATGAAGAATATTTTATGAAAATGAATGTCTTGTTATTTTACTACTTCTCTCACTTTTGGGACATTCATGGCCTTTAATCATCATGAGTTGAAGAATATTAATGAAGATAGAAGTGACAGCAGTGGTAGCAATGCACATTTTGTTTACATTTACATTTTGTTTACCCTTACGTTTTCTGTGACTGAGGTATAGGTAAGGTTCAGGAGACTGTCCTGGGTAGTTTAGATTCTTAACTTTTGTTGTTACTGCCATAAACCCTTTCAGGAATCAGATGAAGCTTAGAGACTCCATCTCAGAATAATGATTTTAAATGCATAAAATAAATATGATTATAAAAGGCAACCGATTACATTGAAATTGACTTTAGTGTAGTAATCTTTTGACAGTCTGTCTGCCTGTCTTGGATTAAGAATTCTCACCCTGAAAAAGGGACTGACTACGGGGACCTGGTTGGCTAGGAAATAGGATTCACTCATGGTTCCTTTGTGAAATCTCTGAAAAATACTCTATTCTTTCAGGGATGTCAGATGTCCTGAGCATAGCAAACTTTATTTCATTTTTGATAGTACTAGAATTTCCTTTTTTATCTAAAATAATAACACATTTGAGATTTGTAATTTTTCTTTTGCTGGGTTTGTGTAAAGACCTTTCTGAGTAGGAAAAAAAAAAGACCTTTCTGAGGAGGAATATTTTCTACAATAAAAAGTCTTTAATTGAGTGTTTTCTTGTTAGATCGTGCAGCCTTCTCCTAGGGAAGAATAGTTCTTCAGTTTTTGTATAAAAGTGTAACACAGCAAAATGAACTGCCTAAGCTTCTTTGTATTTACCATTATTTTGAATTAAAGTGAAAATTTTGTTGCCACAAAAAAAGATATGCTTGGTTTTTTTTGGCCAGGCCTCGAGGCATCTTAGGTTCCCTAACCGGGGATCAAACCTGTGCCTTCTTTAGTAGAAGTGCAGTCCTAACGATTAGACTGCAGGGAGTTCCCTATCAAAGATAAAATGATTTTTAATAAAATCATTCTTCTGGGACTTCCCTGGTGGTGCAGTAGTTTAGACTTCACCTTCCAAGGCAGGGTGTATGGGTTCAATCCCTGGTCCGGGAGCTAAGATCCCACATGCTTTGCAGCCAAAAAAATGAAAATATAAAACACAAGCAATATTGTAACAAATTCAATAAAAGACTTTAAAAATAGTCGACATCAGGGCTTCCCTGGTGGTCTAGTGGTTAAGAATCTGCCTGCCAAGCAAGGGACGCGGGTTTGATCCTTGGTCCAGAAAGATCCCACGTGCCTTGGAACAACCAGGCCTGTGCACCTGAGAATCTGAATGCTGCAACAAGAGAAACGACTCCGATGAGATGCCGAGACGCCGCAAGGAAGAGCAGCCCCTGTTCTCTGAAACCAGAGAAAGCCCATACACAGCCACAAAGACCCAGTGCAGCCAAAAAGTCAATAAAAATTTTTAAAAATCATCAGGAATTGCATTACTGATAAACAAAAATTTTAAGAAATAGCCCATGTCTAAAGTTTCTTTAAAAAATAAAATTATTATTTTAAAAGGAGTTTCAGAAGAGGTAGAATAAAGTGTTAACTTATTTTTTCCCTTCTATACCACATTCTATATCTTTCTGAATATCTTCGTTTCATTGCCATGTTATGTATTCTTTCTAGTACTTTAAAAAAAATTTTTTTTTTATTTAAAAGAAGACTTCCCTGGTTAAGAGTGGTTAAGAGTCCACCTGCCAAGGCAGAGGATACGGGTTCAATCCCTGGTCCAGGAAGATTCCACACGGTGTGGGGCAGCTAAGCCCGTGCTGCAAGAGGGGGGACCACCCCGAAGAGACACCTGTGCGCTGTAGCTCTCGAGCAGCCCCGGCTCGCTGCACACAGGGGCGGCCTGCGCAGAGGCCGCGGGGACCCAGTGCAGCCGAAATGCACTGTTCTATATAGGAATAATAAAATACATACATGTAAAAAGTAATAAATAGATGTACATTATACAGATGGTAAAAAAGTCAGTCAGTGTAAATGGATAGATACACTATTGTTTACCAAAGACCTGGTGCTTTTTGAAGGGATCTAAGAAAAGCTTATACTCCTATTTTTGTTTACATTTTTTTCTCTTTTTTTATTTAAGCACAGTTATTTTTCTGTATTTTGAAAGTATTCCATGAGTTTCTCACTCCTCCTCTTCCATCCTCTTTTCATTTTTTTCCTCTCAATGTTAAGATAAAGGAAGTAAATTATGTTTAGCAGTTATTTGATTATTTGTAACCACTTCCCTGGTGGCTCAGATGGTAAGGTATCTGCCTACAATGTGGGGGACCCGGGTTCAATCCCTGGGTTGGAAAGATCTCTTCGAGAAGGAAATGGCAACCCACCCACTCCAGTATTCTTGCCTGGAAAATCCCATGGACAAAGGAGCCTGGTAGGCTACTGTCCATGGGGTCGAAAAGAGTCAGACAGGACTGAGCGACTTCACTTGGCTTTAACCATTCATCTGGTCCTGGGTGGACCAGATGATAGAGTCCACCCTGCAGGGCAGGAGACCCGAGTTTGATCTCTGAGATGGGAAGATCTGCTGGAGGAGGAAATGGCAAACCACTCCAGTGTTCTTGCCTGGGGAATGCCATGGACAGAGGAACCTGGTGGGCTACAGTCTATAAGGTCACAAAGAGTTAGACACGACTAAGCAACTGACATATCTGGTACTCAGCAATACACAACAAGAGCAAAGTATCAATTCAAATATTAAAGTGGTAGCAATATTAAGGATTGTATAAAAATATGGGTTAAAAAAGAGCAAGGTTTTACTGTGGTGTATTCTTAACCCTTCAGCTTAAAACTGTTTTTTAAGAAAACAAAATGCACTTTCTGCTGCCATGATGCCCGTGAAAAAGCCGGTGGTATGGGGGGAGCAAAGAAAGAAGCAGGTCCTGAAGATTACTCGCGACTATACCCACCCTGTAGAGCTTCCCTTGTAGCTCAGTTGGTAAAGAAGCCGCCTGCAATGCGGGAGACCTGGGTTCAGTCCTTGGGTTGGGAAGATCCCCTGGAGAAGGGAACAGCTACCCACTCCAATATTCTGGCCTGGAGAATTTCATGGACTATATAGTCCATGGGGTCGCAAAGAGTCAGACACGACTGAATGACTTTCACTTCACTATATGAACCCTGCAGAAGATGGAATCTTGGGTGCTGCCGATTTTGAGCAGTCTCTTCAGGAGAGAATTAAAGTGAATAGAAAAGCTGGGAATCTTGGAGATGTTCTAATAATTGAAAGAAGCAAAAGCAAAATTACTGTGATGTCTGAGGTACCTTTTTCTAAAAGGTATTTGAAATATCTCACCAAAAAATATTTGAAGAATAACCTGTGTAGTTGCTAAGAGCAAAAAAAGTTACAATTGTGTTACTACTAAGTAATCAATCAAGGTGAGGAGGAAGATAAAGATTAAAATTCAGTTATATGGAATATTTTGTGTTATTGCTCTTTAGTAGCTGTGTCATATTCTTTGTGACCCCATTGACTGTAGCCCTGCCTGCCAGGCTCCTCTCTGTGGGATTCTCCAGGCAAGAATACTGGAGTGGGTTGCCATTTCCTTCTCCAGGGAAACTTCCTGGCCCAGGGATTGAAACTGTATCTTCTGCATTGGCAGGTGGATTCTTTACCACCCAGTCACCTGTAAAGCCCAATTTTGTATGAATTCTTCACTAAAATTTAGAAACCAACTAGATACATATATATGTGTGTGTGTGTATATATATATATAAACTGTCCTTCCATTATGTTTGCTTTCCCTGGAATTCACTCTATACATACACATCTTTGTGTGTGTGTGTGTGTGTTTTAATTGAAAGAAGATTTGCACCTGAATCAACCTGAATCAGTAGTATTGACCACCCAGCAGTCAAGTCTAGTAAAAGCCACCATTTAAAAATACTACTTTATCTCAGAATGAAAGAAAAATTTACTGAATTTTCTTCCTTTTTTTTGTTCTCTTGAGGTTCTCAATATTGTGCCGAACATTGAAGGGCAAGTGGTTGATTTCTTTGTAGAGTGTTTGATTTAAGATCTTACTGTTTATGTAAGGAATTAATAATAATTACCTGATTTTTAAAACAGTTTTAAGAGTTGCTTTAAAATGGAACCAGTAACAGCCACAGAAGTTCAGGTAACAACTTGATGGGTTTGTTTAGTAACAAAGCTGTTAATACTTAGTTTCTTTTTTTTTGTTTTCCCTAGAGGTTTTGCTACTTGTTGATGAGTGCCTCAACTTACACCTTTATGATGGTGTGGGAGTACAGCCACTATCTCTTGTTTCTTCAAGCAATATCTCTCTTCTTGCTAGATAGTTTTTCACTGGAGCAGAGTGACAAGGTATTAATGGCATTTCAAAACTATGATTTTAAATCTGCAGAATTTTAAATCTAGTATTTATAGGATTGTATAAAAACCATTTAGCTTTTAAACTTATTTTGAAATACTTTAATAGGCTCTGATTTATACTTCTACTCAAAAGGTTGTTAAACTCATTCTTCCCTAGTCCTTTTAGAAGCACTTTGAAATTTCCTTAAGCATGGGCTGTTTAACCAGAGTCACCCCTGTGCTTCCTCTTTTATTTCTAGCCATTTCTCCATCTTCCCTGTTTCTTAAAAAAGAAAAAAAAGTGAAATATAGGACATGTGCAAAAGAGTCTGTGTATGCTATCTATATCCCATGGGCTGAGTATCCAGCCCGTGGGGTCACAAAGAGTTGGACATGACTGAGCAACTGAGCACACATATAGTGTATAGAAAAAATATGAGTGATTGAACACCCAGGCCAAGAATTGGAGCATTTCAGTACCCAGGAAGCCACTTTCTCCCAGTCGTATCCTACTCCTCTCCAACAGAGGCTAACTGTCCTGAATTTTGTTAATCCTTTCCTTCTTTTTCTTTATGTTTTTTTACCACCTATCTATGTATTCCTAAAAATACATTGTTAAATGATAATGTATTGTTTACTTTTGCCTGATTTGCTTTTGAGATTCATCCATGGTGATATACAGTTATATTTCATTCATTTTTATTTACTAATGTATTCTGCTGCTAAATAACATTTAAGCTTTTTTCCAGTTTATTGTTCATATGACCAGTGCTGCTATAAGCATTCATATACATGTCACCTGGCTCAGATTTTTCTAGAATATATACCTCATAGTGGAATTAGAAGTCAAAGAATAAGTGCATATTCAATCTAACTAGAGATACCAAGCCTTTCCCCAGAATAGTTATATTGATTTATACTCCTGTCAGCAGTAGTCTCCCATAGACATTCAGTTTCTTTATCTTTTTATCTTTTTGCCTTGTTATCTTCCTTTTCCTTACTTACAAACATTTATTGAGTATGTAATATATTGTCTTATCTAGAAATTTGGGAATATTCATGCTCATCCTTTTTCTTCCACTTGGTCCAGAATCCTGGTAATTAGGTTATTTAAATAATCATTAACCAAGTATAAAGTTGTTAACTTGTTAAGTGAAAGGGTAATAAGTACCTAAAAGTATTACAGAGGTAAAGCTTCAGGAAGCAGCTACCACCCTAGAAGCTGTGGAAGAACTGGGAATTATTGAAACTTCGAAGCTTAGAGGGGGGACCCCCATGGAGCTGAAATAGACCTCTGATAAAGAGCCACTGCTCCACTTTGCTGGTATCTCTGTACTGGAAAGAAGGGCTCTCTGGAAATGGGACCCAGACTTCTGAGAATGGTACTCTGGCCAGCTGATCCCATGGTCTCTGGGGTAAGAAGACATGACAAAGCTGATTCTTGAAGCTTAAGAAAACTGCAGCTGCATGCAACTGCTGTTACAGGAAAGAATTACTCCGTTGGAGTGAAGAAGCCTTGCTAAGGTGATCCACCCAGGAACTGCAGGCTGCAGGAAGGAATACATCCCTGCTCTGTCCTCCAACCTTACCTCTCAGGAACACAGATTGGAAGAGCTTAATAGGGAGCCAAATGGGAGAGCAGAAATGTAGATTATAGATAGAGGTTGGCCCCAACATTATGAATCTGGGATAGAGACATAGGTTTGGACTAAGAGAACCAGCAGCCAAAATGAAAAAATAGGATATTACTAGCACCCAGAAGATCAATAGAGCCCTCTCCTTGTGATTGTGTCAGTCTCCCAACAGTGAGGTATCTTTTTAAAAAATTGCTCTGGCCTTTTAGGGATGTTTTTTCTTTCTGGTTTTTTTTTTAACATCACTCTACCTTTTGATGCCCNCCCCCACTCCCCGCCCCCGGCCAACTAATGTCTATATTTCATCTTAATTCTCCCCTCTCTATTCAATAAAAGGAATCTATTTTATGGTAGATTAAGTTATACTATTGAAGTTTAGAAAAGAAACCTAGTAAGACATAACTTTCTAGAAGAACTAGGAGGTCTTCTATTAGGAAATTAAATTTAACTTTCTTAATGTCATTGTTAAATGGACCAAGTGCAAAAATACTTTTCTCTGGTGCTGTATTTCATGGCAATATATTTTCCTTGGGTAGGTTTTGGGAACTACTGCTAAAGATTATGACTTTTTACTTACATAGCTTCACGTTGCTCAGGTGGACAAGACAAACTAAGTGAAATGAAGTCAGAGCCTGGGATTAAAGATGGTTTTTCTAGTCTGATTTAGACATCCATGGTTTCGATGCTTTTTACTTTGTTTCTGGAGAGTTCTTTCTAAAAAGAAAGTGATAAATTACCTATATTCCATTCCATTAAAAATACAAGTTGAATGGTTGTACAATACTGTCCAAAATTATAGTAGAGCATTTACTTTATAATTGTAGTCAAATTTTATCTAATGAAAAAATGTACAATAAAATTAATTTTGTTCTCATTTTTGTCCCAACAGGTTCATGAAGTTTATAAAATCTATATATTTTCTCTCTTTCTGGGATATTTACTGCAGTTTGAGAATTCAGCTTTATTGGTGTCTCCTTTATTAAGTTTAGTAGTAGCCTTAATGCTTGCTAAGTGCCTTCAGGTAAGTAGAATTGACTATCATTCTTGGGGTGAATTTTTAAATTGTTAATCTTTTTAAAATCTTACTTATTTGTTCATATGGTTCCTCCTTCCCATAGCTGAATGTGAAGAGAGGAACTTTTGTGGCTAAAATAATGAAAGTGATCAGTGTTTACTTGGTGTGTACTCTGACAGTGACACTGAATATTATAATGAAGGTGAGTAACTCTGTGTTGGAGATTCATGTAGTAGAGCAATTTGAATAATTTAATTTTAATGAGAATAATGGGATAACAGTAGAGTTTATACAGTAATATTGTTAGCTGAACAGTAATCATACCTAGTGTATTAGGTGGGAAAATAGGATTCTGAATTTTTTCTAGATATACTTTAAAAAATTCTACTTTATTTTTCATTTAAAATGTCATCATTACCCCAATTAGCATTAAGTAATATGTAGAATAAATTCAGATGAGTAAAAGACATTCAAAAGAGTGGGTAAGTTGTTTATGCTAGGTGGGAAAAGGTTAAAATTTTCTTACTACCCCATTATACTTTTATGCTTAACTATAAGATAATGTGATTGACTTGTGCCAGTAAATCTCCTTGCTTCATAGTTATACCTTGCATTTTTAATTCACATTTTTTGTTTCATAATCTTGCTTTGTTTTCTAGTTCTAGTATTGGACAAAAGCATATTGCTATAAGCATAACTAATAGTTCTACAACTAATAGTTCTAACTAGTGTTTTTATCCTCCAGATGTTTGTCCCACACAAAGAAAATGGACATATGCTGAAGTTCCTTGAAGTAAAATTTGGACTAAATATGACTAAGTAAGTTTTGGATTATGTAAGTTTACCTAACTCTATACTACTTAATAAGATAAAGAGCAGAAATAATCAAAGGAGGTTGTATGCACCTAATTACATACCACTCAGAAAATAATCTGGGGTATTATAATAGCTAGAAGAAATATGACATTCATACTTTTCTTATTTTAAAAAATACCTCATTTAGATCTTTTAAAATTAGGTGTACTTAAACCTCAGTAGCATCACAGCATGTTAGGTCACTTTCTCCCTTAATGAGGAAGGATGATACAACCTAAGGTCAGGATAAACTAAAGATTTAAAATGAATAAAGAACCTAGGAAATTATAACCTCTAACCAGCAAAATGCTGATATTTAAAAGAACATGGGGATTTCCTTGGTGGCATAGTGGATAGGAATTTGCCTGCCAGGGTTTGATCCCTGGCCCAGGAAGATCCCACATGTTGCAGAGCAGCTAAGCCCACCTGCCACAGCTACTGAGCCTGCACTCTGGAACCCGTGAGCTACGACTCCTGAGCCTATATGCTGCAGCTGCTGAAGCCCTCACACCTGGAGCCTGTGCTCCGAAATGAGAGAAGCACCCCCAGTGAGAAGACCGCACAGAGTAGTCCCTGCTCACGCAACTAGAGATCAACCACACAAAGCAACGCAGACCCAGTGCAGCCAGAAAAAGGGGATGAAGTCAGCTATAGTTCAAGTAAAAAAGGCTCATGGCATATTACACATCTGTGCCTCAATAAAAACAGGGTATGAACATAAAAATGAGGTGGTCAGTAAGATATTTATTTCATAGCAAAGACTCTCATCTTTGGTCATAATAGTGGATTGGACCAGAACCTGACTTTTTAAAATTCAAAAATAGTGTACTTTTGTTTGTTGGTTAAGTGCATTTTTTTAAATCTAAAATGAAATAAATGATTTTATATACTAATAGAATTCATTTTCATAGCAGAAAACATATATTTACCTATCACAGTGTTAGTTGCTCAGTCGTGCCTAACTCTTTGCAACCTGTGAGCTGCGGCCCATCAGGCTCTTCTGTCCATGGGAGTTTCCAGGCAAGGATACAGGAATGGTTTGCCATTTCCTTCTCCAGGGAGTCTTCCTGACCCAGGGATCAAACCTGGGTCTCCTGCACTGCAGGCAGGTTCTTTGCCAACTGAGCTACCAAGGAAGCACTTAATGCCAGGTTCATTCTAGAGTCTTCCAAGGTTACAGAGGAAGTCAGTGAAAAGGCCAGGCAATTATGGAGGTCTACAACCAGCTTTTACTAGTTGCCTGCTGAGTTTCAGGCCTACAAATACACCTTATTAAAAAAAAAAAACAAAAAAAAACCAAATACACCCTATAAAGATATGGTCCCTAGCTTTATGAAGCACACAGCCTCTTTAAGGATTCTTTTATCTTGCTAGATAGATATGATTTACGCTTCAAAAGACTTCTGTAGTGTTTAATCCATGTCCAACACTTGGTTGACTAATACATCACAATATGAAACTTCATGCACAGTATCTAAAATTCCATGTAATCTATCGAAATGTATAGGTAAATATTCTCCAGGGGATCTTTTCGATCCCTGAGTCAGGAAGACTTCTCTAGTTCATAAGTAGACCCTAGAACCTTATCATTGTTTGCTGCGATTACCTGGGATTTTAGATACCATGCATAAAATTTCATGTTGTGATGTATCAGTTGACCAAGCATTTTACGTGGCTTAAACACTAGAGAAGTCTTCTGAAGCGTGAATCATATCTATCTACTAAGATAAAAGAATCCTTTAAGAGGCTTTGTGCTTCATAAAGCTAGGGACCATGTCTTTTTAAGGTGTATTTGTAGGCCTGAGACTCAGCAGGCAACTAGTAAGAGTTGGTTGTAGACCTCCATAATCGACTGGCCTTTTCACTGACTTCCTCTGTCACTTTGGAAGATTCTAGAATGAACCTGGCATTAAGGGCTGCTTTTGTTCAGTGTTTCTTAGTTGATCTTGTATAGTGCTCTTTTGTTCTGCATGTTAGGTACTGGATTTGCTTCACAAGGTAGTACACTCGGTATTTTAATATTAAAGCTTAGTCCTTGTCCTTAAGGATATTGCCAGCTCATTAGATAGTTTTTATACAATTAATGGCATATAGGTCGTACAGATTGTTAAGTGCCTTATATTCAGATGTACCAGTTGGATATCAGGGTTTGTAATGTTCATCAGGATTTCAGGAAGCATTTCTGTTGAGAGAAACTTTTAAGAATCACTAAAGAATTGTTAATAGTTATTTAATATGCAAGATACTGGGCCAGGTACTCTTTGGGATACAAAAATGTCTACAGTCTGACACATGGATGCTAAGTTGCTTCAGTCGTGTCTGACTCCTTGTGACTCCATGAACTGTAGCCCCCCAGGCTCCTCTGTCCATGGGATTCCCCAGGCAAGAACACTGGAGTAGGTTGTCATTTCCTTCTCCAGGGGATCTTCCTGACTCAGGGATCGAACAGTGTCTCTTAGTCTCCTGCATTGGCAGGTGGGTTCTTTATCACCAGTGCCACCTGGGAAGCCAATCTGGCACATAGCGGATTGCATTAAGCACTATAATAAAGTGATAATTAAAGTGCCATGGGAATATGGGGAAGGAAAGATTGAGATTAGGATTATGGAAAGAAGATCATTATTAAATTGGGAATTTGAATTAGACCTTAAAGAATTAGTAGGTTTAATAGGCGTATTTAAAAACAAGATGCATTTGTCCTGGGTACAAAGATTTCGATGACAGCCTCTTTGATACAGTTTTATTGCCGTTTGGCACATTGAGAAACTTGAACGTTTTAGTTTAAACCCGGTGATATGTGAAGCATTCTTGGTCCCTCCATGAGCACTCCTGAACATCACTTTTTCACTTATTTCTTTCCCCAGGGCTGGGAATTTAAGGATTAAATGGAAGTTAAAGATGGTTTGGGAGTGAGAATGCCGATAAATCTACTTATAACTAGGAGTCTTGGTTATATTTAGTGTGGGTTAAAAAAAAGCAGTTTATCTGATAGGATTGTCTAATATAAAACAAGAGTGTCCAATAACAATGTAACTTTAGTCTCATACATAATTTTTTAGTAGTCACATTAAAAAAAAAGTAAAAAGAAACAAGTGAATTTAATTAATGTGTAAACAATATAAAATTACTGAGATATATTTTGTATTTTTAAAATTCCCTTTTTCAGCTGTTTTTATCTTTGAAGTCCAGTGTATATTTTGTGCCCTAAGAATATTTCCACTTGCTACATTGCATGTGCTGATAGCTACATGTAACTAGTGAATATTATATTGGACTGTGCTGGTTGAGGCTACACAGCTGAATTTTTTGTTTTCTTCCAGGTAAAAATAGAAAGTAAAACTACCTTAAAACTATATTGAGTCCTATATATATATTGGACTGTATATATTGTCATATTGCTATATCATAAAAAAGTAGTAATTTTAAATTTATTAGGGCAGCTTGTTGAGGAGGGTTATTAATGCTATTATTTTCATTTGTAAAGGGTATGACCTTGCTGTCGTAAGTTAATAAAGAAATGTGTTTTGTCTTAGTTTTTACTGAGATAAAAAATAACTTTTATGTTCAGTATTTTAAAACATCTGTAGTTTTAATATCATGCTTTTTGTTTCCTGTAGGAATTTTACAATGAATTGGCTCCTGTGTCAAGAATCCCTTCAGGCACCATCTCAGGATTTTTTTTTGCGATTGACGCAGTCTTCTTTACTGCCTTTCTATATTTTAGTGTTAATTATTTGTTTTCTTTCTATGATTCAAGTTATTTTTAGGAGAATTAAGTAAGTACCTAAGAAAACCAATCATATTACTAATTAATAAATTATGAAATACATAAAACATTTAATATCTTTCCAATATTTATTTGTTTTATAGCTTCTAATTTAATTCTTTTTATCAGTATGTAAAGTATTGTTATAAGTTGACCAGATAAAATTCAAATTTAAGCATATATACCTAAATATGTAATGTCCATTTTTAATGCAGGAATAATATTAAATAATCAGTTAAACTTTTAAAGACTCGTTCAGTAATTTACTCAGGATTTTTATTTATTGTAAGAAGAATCTCTTCTACTTAAACTAGTAGTAAAAGTGATTTAAACTATAAAGTTTGACTATTTAAAAATATTTTTATAATGTTTGAAAGGAGGTTGTATATAGATAGCATCTTAATTTTGAGAACTTACTCTAATTATGATTTTAACTATATTGATTTAGCAACCACTAGTTCAGTTATAATGGACAAGGAACCTAAATATCTAAGTCTCTTTTTTATTACAGTTCTTGAACTTTCATGTTTCATCTTCATTGAGTCAGTTGTCTTCCAAAGTTGAAAAGCCTCTTTCAAAGACTTGGAGATAGATGTTAGGTATTTGACCAGCAGAAAGCACTTTCAAATTTTAAAAACTACCTATGTATTTTTTATGAGGATACTAAAGAGCTTTGATTTTTCAAAGTAGTCAAAAACACATTTCTTTTGGTAGTGATAAGTCCCTGAAAGAAACTGTCACACTTGAAGATGGACGAATTGGAGAAAGGCCAGAAATAATTTATCATGTGATTCACACTATTTTACTGGGTTCTCTTGCAATGATTATAGAAGGGTAAGTATATTTGATCCATTTGTTTTAACAAAGAATTGTCCTTTATGATGGTAGGTAGTGTTTACTTTCCAGAATACATTTATAAAACACTACAAAAACTCAAAAAACCTTAATATAAGTGGGGTTTAGAGAGGTATTTATAATACAGTGAACCAGCATTTACTTATGCTTTTATTTGTTCAAAAACTATTGAATGTCTTCAAAGGGTCCAGCATTGTGTTCACTGGTGGGGGTACACTGGTGAACAAAAGTGGACAGCAAAAGTCTAACCTTATGTGATTTATGGCCTAGTAAAGGTGACAGACACTAACCACACAAAAATAGAATCACAACTTTGCTAAGTGAAGGAGAGGTAAACGGTGTTTTGAGAGTGGGGGTTCAATAAATGATACCCTTTTCTTTGAAGTTTGACTTAGGTGAGAAATAAGACATAGGAATATAAAAGTGTTCTGAGTACCCGGTTTTAATGAAGGTAGGAGGTTTCTTTATACCAACAGACAATTCTCTGGATGCCAGCTGGGTATCCTACAGTTCAACTCAGTTTTGACACTTGTCTTCCAGGACCATCAGAATCCATAGGCATAGGGTTCAGTCCTACAAGACTCCCTTGTTACCGCTTCAGACACCGATTACAAGTCCAGGTTATTACCTGTTTCTGATGAACTGACCAGAGTGTCCCAAACTCTGGCAGGAACACTAGTCACGTCAAGAAGTAGTAGGAGAAAAACTGAAAAGGTGTGTCAGGGCCATATCTTAGAGGGCCTTGAAAACCATTTAGATGAGTTTCCATTTATTTCTGTAGGTACTGGGAAACTAAAGATTTTTAAACAGAACATGTCTTCTCATGGTTAAGTTTGAAAAGGATTCATCTGGCATCTCTTTGAATTGGAAGAGAATTTAAAGGTTGAAATGTTAATTAGCTGGCTAGATGAAATAAATGATAAGGAAGGGTTGGATACTAAGAAGTCAGTGGATTGGCATAATGGTCCAGTGTCTCCAGTAGAGTTTGTGTTCCAAGGGATGTCATATACATGTAATTTAGCGTGAATCGATGTCTCTTCAAGTTACAAATTAGACTTTAGTGTTGATTCCGGCTGACTGGAACAACTGGTTTGGTATTCTGAAATGGGGGTGTTAGGAGGAGATATTAGTTAACTGGGGAAACTAATGCGATTCCTCTGTCTTAATAAAATGTATTCTGTATGCATCCACTACTTATCTCAGAGCCTGATTCAGTATTCATTTTTTTAAACCTTCAATACAGTCTCAAATCGATATTTTGCTTTCACATAACCCTTTACCTTATGAAAATGCTTTTTAGTACTTATTTTCTAATGGTTTCCCATGTGTTCAAGTGCCACATTAGCTGCTTCCCAGGTGGCGCAGTGGAAAAGAATGCACCTGCCAGTGCAGGAGATTCAAGAAATGTGGGTGTGATCCCTGGGTCAGGAAGGCCCCCTGGAGTAGGAAATGGCAACCTACTCTAGTATTCTTGCCTGGAAAATCCCATGGACAGAGGAGCCTGGCGGGCTGCAATCCAGGGTGTCACAAAGAGTCAGACACAACCAAGCATGCATGCAGGAAATGCAGGTGTTCAGTTTTATTCCATCTTGATAAAGACCTCCTTGAGAGCTGTAGCCACGTCTTGTCTTTTTCCTCTGTAGTACTTTGGCCACACTGAAGTGCATGATCAATAACTTATCAGATGAATGAATGTTACTTTGCTTTCCCCATTTCATAGCTTTGCTAATTTTATAAAACCAAAATAGTTCACGTTTATACTCTGGCCTCATATGCTTCTAGTGTCTTTAGAGTTTGTCATCAAAGAATATTGCTTGGAAAGGTCTTTTTGTTTTCTTAGTGTTAACTACAAAAGTTATCCTTTGAGATGTTGTTTCTTTTTGTTAATCTGTGTGAAGCAATGGCGTCCACAAATTTTTCTCACTCTTCCTCTTCTGTCTTCAGCTTTTACCATCACCTCTTACAGCTACAAGTTACAACTTACAGTAATGTTCTGTCTTTTATTTATACAAGTTGATTTTTTTGTACACCTGGAATTTTAATCTGTTTAAGTTAAGAGCCCCAGTTTTTCAATTCTGTTTTTTCTTTTTTTTTTAATTTTGTTTTTAAAAAGTTAATCTCAAAAGTAATACACTTCAGACCATGTAATAAACACAGTATATAAATGTATGAAGTAAAAAATTAAAATCCTTCCATCTCACTCTTCAAAGGCCACAACTGTCAGCCATATCCTTCTAGATGTTATCTTTGACTATACTGTATATAGGTACATTAGGGGGGAAAAGTCACCAAAAAACTAGGGTACAATATACATAAGATTTTGCAGTTTGCTTTTTTGTTTTTCATAAGGATTTGTTTAATCAGTACCTATTAAAGGATAGTTAGGTTTCTGTTTATTTTGCAATTAAAACAACATATTTTTAATATTTATGCTATTATATCTGTTAGCTAGATTACTAGAAATGGCATTGTCTTGTGCTATTTAAAATTTTTATAGGTTCTGCCAAATTGCCTTCTGAAAAGGAGAAACAGTTTATATTCTTTCCAAGAGTACAGTTTTACTACACCTCATCTATATTAATGCCTAATCCTCATTTTAGTAACCCACATGTGTCTTGATTATTTAAGAAGTAATTATCTGTCACTGAAAATTAGAGGGTAAGCTTTTTCACTTTCCCTTAACATTGTGGTGTTTTCATGAATGTTAGGAAACAACTCAGAATAGAGATATCATATAATAATGATGTTCATAGAATAGCTAATGTATGACTCTTTTTTGTCTTTTCCAGCTTGAAATACCTATGGACTCCTTATGTGTGCATGTTAGCAGCATTTGGTGTATGTTCTCCTGAACTCTGGATGACACTTTTCAAGTGGCTTCGATTACGAACTGTACACCCAGTATTGTTGGTGAGTCATTATTTTGTGTTAAGTTCTTATTTCTCTTTCAAGTATATGAATGGAAATCATGTTGAATACAATTGAAATAGTGTGAGTAAATCATATTATGATTTATAGGTAGAGAAAAAGAGAAAGATTCTGAGGAAAATATTTTTTTCATAATTTCTGATTATAAATGTAGTGTGTTTCAATGCAAAATCCTTAAAAAGTAGAAGGTAAAAAAATTAAGTGAATCAATAATTTGAGAGGCTATCAAAAATTAAGTTTTATAACATTTTTCTTGGTTTGACTTAGAACTATGGTATGTTTTCAGTGTGAATGGAACGTTTACACTGTACCTGCTATGAATCAGTTCAGTTCAGTTTAGTCACTCAGTCTTGTCTGACTCTTTGCGACCCCATGGGCTGCAGCCTGCCAGGCTTCCCAGTCCCATCACCAACTCCCAGAGTTTACTCATGTCCATTGAGTTGGTGATGCCATCCAGCCATCTCATCCTCTGTTGTCCCCTTCTGCTCCCGCCTTCAATCTTTCCCAGCATCATGTTATTTTCAAATGAGTCAGTTCTTTGCATCTGGTGGCCAAAGTATTGGAGTTTCAGCTTCAGCATCAGTCCTTCCAGTGAACTCAGGATTGATTCCTTTAGGATGGACTGTTGGCTCTCATTGCAGTCCAAGGGACTCTCAAGAGTCTTCTCCAACACCACAGTTCAAAAACATCAATTCTTTGGCGCTCAACTTTCTTTATAGTCCAACTCTCACATCCATACATGACCACTGGAAAAACCATAGCCTTGACTAGATGAACCTTTGTTGGTAAAGTAATGTCTCTGCTTTTTAATATGCTGTCTAGGTTGGTCATAGCTTTTCTTCCAAGGAGTAAGTGTCTTTTAATTTCATGGCTGCAGTCACCATCTGCAGTGATTTTGGAACTCCCAAAAATAAAGTCTGCCACTATTTCCACTGTTTCCCCATCTATGTGCCATGAAGTAATGGGACCAGATGCCATGATCTTAGTTTTCTGAATGTTGAGCTTTAAGCCAACTTTTTCAGTCTCCTCTTTCACCTTCATCAAAAGGCTCTTTAGTTTTTCTTTGCTTTTGCCGTAAGGGTGGTGTCATCTGCATATCTGAGATTATTGATATTTCTCCCAGCAATCTTGATTGCAGCTTGTTGTGCCTCATCTAGCCCAGCGTTTCTCATGATGTACTCTGCATATAAGTTAAATAAGCACGGTGACAATATACAGCCTTGATGTACTACTTTCACAACTTTGAACCAGTCTGTTCCATGTTCAGTTCTAACTGTTGCTTCTTGACCTGCATACACATTTCTCAGGAGGCAGGTCAGGTGGTGTGGTATTCTCATCTGTTTCAGAATTTTCCAGAGTTTATTGTGATCCACACAGTCAAAGGCTTTGGCACAGTCAATAGAACAGAAATAGATGTTTTTCTGGAACTCTCTTGCTTTTTTGATGATCCATCAGATGTTGGCGGTTTGATCTCTGGTTCCTTTGCCTTTTCTAAAAGCAGCTTGAATATCTGGAAGTTCATGGTTCACATATTGTTGAAGCCTGGCTTGGAGAATTTTGAACATTACTAGTGTGTGAGATGAATGCAACTGTGCAGTAGTTTGAGCATTCTTTGGCATTGCCTTTCTTAGGGATTGTAATGAAAACTGACCTTTTCCAGTCCT